TCCACACCTGCAACACCTAAGCTTACAGCAATAGCAACATCGACTAAAACTACAACAACAGCAACAGTTGCAGCTGCAATAAGCTCACCAAAATCCACACCAGCAACGCCTAAGCTAACAGCAACATCAGCTAAAACTACAACAACAGCAGCAGCTAAAGACTCACCAAGATCTACACCAGCAATACCTAAGCTAACAACAGCAACAGTTGCAGCTACAATAAGCTCACCAAAATCCACACCAGCAACACCAACTGCAACTAAATCTGAAACAATACTTGCAACAGCAATAAGCTCACCAAAATCCACATCAGCAATAACTTCAACCAAAACTGACACGACAACAACAATTGCAGCTGCTATCAGCTCACCGAAGTCCACGCCAGCAACACCTGTATTGGCAGCAACGGCAGCAATCGACAACAACAAAGCCGAGGCTGCAACACCGAAGCTGACAACAACAGCTGCTGCCGTTGGTGGTGCAAAGCCCAGCATAGGTAAGCCAGCAACAACAGTTGCTGGTGCAGCAAAACAGTCTGGCAACGCCGCAAACAGCGCCGTTGCCATGACAACAGCATCAACAGCAAGCGCACAGACAACAACAGCACCAGGCAAATCAAAACTGAACGAAACGGCGGCGGCAGCAACAATAGCAAAAACAGCGGCAGCAACAGCGACAACAGCGCCAAAAATAAATGCCGGGCAAGCAGCCAAGTCACCTGAACAACAACAGGCAGCAGCAGTGGCAGCAGCACCAGCAGCAGCAGCAACGAAAATAAATAAAACGCATAATAATGAGCGACAGCAGCAACCACCAGACAGCGCAGCAGCAACAATTGCAGGGAAACAACAAACGGAAACTAAATCGAAATTGACGGAAATTGTTGAGCCAAAGTCAAAGGTGCAATCACCGAAAGCGACAAAGCCAAAAAGTGCTGCAACAGCAGCCAAAAAGAAAGTCGCAGCGACTCCCACAGCAGCAGCAGCAGCTGCAGCGGCAACAACAACTTTGCCAGACAGCAATGTGACCCCAATCAATGCCGATCAATTTATAACGCTGGCCCCCACTAAGGCGGCCAATGCGGCGGCAGCGGCCACAAATGCGTCATCGCCGGCAACGGCTGCAACTGCAGCAGCAACAGCAGCAATTACAAGCGCAGCAACAGCAGCAACGCCTACAACAACAGAAGCAGCAACAGCAACAGCAACATCAACAGCAGCAGCAGCAATAACAATAGCAACAACTGGCGATGAGCAAACGTCGCAGTTACGAGCTGTTGCTGCTGCTGCGGCGGCTGTTGTCGACAGCAGCAACAACAGCTGCGGCGAAGGCGTCGGCAATAATTTATCAAAGTTTGCAACAGTATCGAATTTGGCACAGTGTCTGCGAGACGTTGACGCCGAGCTAGAGGACTATATACCGTCGTCCGCGGAAAATAGCGAAGATAGCGACGAAGACAGCAGCGACAGTTCAGGCAATTTATCCAGCGCGAATCTGAGTGCCAGCATGAAGAAGAAACAGCGCAAGGAGAAGAAAAAGCAGAAGGCCAAAGATGCGGCGCCCGCACGCTTCGATCCGCAAAAGAAAATCAAAATCGATACGACCAGCAAATGCTATGTGAAAGAGGAGGCGCCACGGTATCCGCTTGTTGCCACGCCACGTCCGCTGTGGAAGCGCGAGAAGATTGTCTACTCTGATGAGAATACGGACGATGAGAGCAGCGAGGAGGGCAGCGAGGCGACTGGCGGCTCGTTGGACGAGGAGAGCGACGAGGATGACAGCGATGCGTGCAGCAGCAACAGCAACAGCAGCAGCAGCAGCTCCTCGGACTTCGACGAGGAGGCAGCGAGAACAACAGAAAAGCGGAACACAAATGCCGCCAGCGCAACGGCAACAGCCAATATAAATAATAATAATAATAATAATAATAGTAGCACATTGACGCCGGCAAGCAGCTCGGCCACAGCATCGGGCAGTCCATCCGTCTCCAGCTCGCCGTCGATCATACGGATGAGCACGTGCAGCAACGATTCCGGCTTCGAGGGCGGCACTGCGCCATCCAGTCCCAAAAAGATGTTAGGTAAGCGCCACGAATATCACAAATCCAAAGCCAGACAGAGACAGACGGCATTCATCACAGCTGACCAAACAGACCGGACAGACGCCGGCAGTTTTGGCCACTTGAGTATTGCTGCACGTGCAGAGCATTCCGGGCTGAACCACCAGCAGGCAAGCCCACCCACATGCCCCACCTATTGGGGTTGTTGCTTCTTAGAGCTTGTCGTGCATGCAATTTGCTTTCATTTTCACAAAGAGCGAGAGAGAATGAGAGAGCGAGAGAGTGGGAGAGCGAGAGAGTGAGAGAGCTTGGCATGCGGAATATTTAGTTGAAAAACAAATAAACATGCTATAAATCTGTGTAGCTGCTTATATACAAAAATGCCTTCTATATGGCCACAATATATATATATGTAGTATATATATTATATATAAATACATATATATAATATAACGACTAAGAAAACAACGAAAATTGAAAAGCAAACTTTTGTTGTCTCTTAAAGGAAGTCACAGTTCCATGTAAAAACCATTACAAACTGTGTCTTAAGACTTAGTTCCAACTAACTATATATATATATAAATAATATGCTAAATATATACATATATATATCTTTAGTATTATACATAATTGACAGACAGTGTTCGTCAGTGAATTTTATTGAAAATATTTTCCTAGCAATTTGATTGAATTATTGTCAATTAGTTAAGCTTTTGTTGGCAGTCTCAGAGTGATCTACGTAAATGTATATATGAGCTACTTAGCTGTAGTCAAATGTCTGACTGTCTTAAGCTTAAAAGGTTGACTTTTTAACTCCTGCTCAGCCATAACTTATCAATTTCGAACTGCCAAGTTGAAGTTGCCAACGAAAGCAATTCGAGCTCAGGGATATAAGAAAAACATCGTGGATGGCCAGAGCATTACTTAGTCTTCGGAAAATAAATGTTTAGTTGTTAGAAGCGTGTTCCTATTAGATGAGCAATGTGGGTAAAAGAGCGTAGAACGCAGTAGCTGATTCACAGCAGCTATCAAAAATCGAGCTGCATTTGAAATGCTGCTGATGGCCAAGTCGAAGAGGCAAACTGAAAGAGCTGCCTTTATATGAACACAGCAAATGGTTTCTGAGTAAAATCTAATTAGCTGGAAGTTGAAAGAGCTCAAGAGGCAAGAGTATAACAAGTCTAAGGCTTCTCCTTCTGGCTGCATTTTTGAGCTGAAAGCCAAAAGGTTCCTTCTGGCATCTAATGTCAATGGCATTCGCGCACTTCAAACATGATTAAAATATGTTTTTTATATAATTTCGTAAGTCAACCGTTACTCAGTGGCAAACAACTTGCTGAGAATTTGCTAGCACAATGTGGAACTAGAGAGCGAATGATTGCAGTTGCGGCAGCAGCTGAAAGATACAGCTACAAAGACAGCCACAGCCACAGAGCCAGAGATAGAGATGGAGATACAAATTGAAACAAGAGATAGAATAGACAATTTGGCAATTTACTTTTAGCAAATTGTATACAAAATTGTTTAGGTCATCGTCGTGTTTGCCTTTACGTTTCTTTTTTTTTTTTTTTTTGCTTTCTTTTTTCTTGGGATTTGTCGTCTTTCATCTTACGTTTTGCTGTTTGTTCTCAACTTAACTAGAAACTGAATTCTCATGTTGTTGTTTCGAGCTGAAAACGCAGAGGAAAACAGAAGAAAACATTTGAAATATGCTCGGGCGATTCTTTCAGTTATTTAATGCAACAATTACTACCGAAAGCAAAAGTTTCATAAAATTTCAAATAAACCCGAAGCATGTAAACAAAGACTTTCCAAATATTTGCATCTATATTTATATATTTATATATATAGATATAGATATCGAAAGTGTGAAAATAATATTGCCTGCAGCAAGGGGGTTGACTCACGCAACGAACACCCTGCGCAGCTAAGAGCAAGCTCCATTAGTTGGCTAGACTACTATATGGGAAAATGAAATGGGAAATCTTTTGAGTTTTCCTTTGCCTGTTATTCACAACGTCTGCTTTGCTTTCATATTCAAAATTGATTCAATTTGAAACTCCTTAAAAATTATCCGTTAATATGGTTTACGGAAAAGCTTTAGCTGTGCCAATTTCCTATTCCATTCTATTCGCTCAGTTCGCTAATCGATATAGCACAAGTTGGGTATTTTTTATATTACAATATATATATATATATATACATGAAGCCAAGCAAACAATGCTTTGATTGTTTTTCTCTCGTTCTCTCACACGTAACACGCTGCGTATGCGTGATATTTGCATAAAATCTTCGACTTCGGCGTCGATTCGTTTACAATTTCATGTGATTGCATGCAAATATTTGCAAATACTTGTTGTTTATTAAATGAACATTAAGCAAACACACAACACAACACAAGACACACACACACACACACACACACACCCTTTGGGTTAAAGCCAAAACGGATGTGCGTTTGATTTCAAATACGATGCGAATGCTCTCACGCGTGTGTGTCTCTCTATCTGTGTGTGTGTGTGTATTTCCTTTTTATAGAGTTAGCAATTTGTATACCCAATTTGTTGCTGCTTACGCTTAGCTGTTTTTTAATTGCTGGCAAAGCATTTCATAAAAAACGCCAAGTGCTCAAACTTGAGAAAATTTATTGGATCGACATGCCCAGGTGCTGGCCAAAGGTGGGCAGGCGCATGTATTTGCTTTAGCCAGAAACGTGCAGCCAATAAATCGCATTTCAAAGCAGCTCAATATAAACATGTACATCTATATATATATGATTTTATATATATATATATACATGTTCATCTACATGGTCACAATTCATAATCATATTAATAACGATTTGTTTTAATTAATCTCAACATTTGCGCTGCCCACGCTGCCAAAAATCAAAACAAAACTGAAACGAAACGAAACGAAACGAAATTGAAATACCAAAAAGAATGTGACGTGAATTGTCACAAGAAATGTGAACGGCTCACGGCCAATTTATGCGGCGTCAATCAGAAGCTCATCGTAGAGGCGCTCAATCACGTAAAGCGAGGTAAAAAAAAATAACAACAACAACAACAACAACAACAAAGCCATATAAATTATACATAAATTATAAACAATAAAGAAGTTTTTAACTGCGGCAAGCCGAAGTTCAAATACCCTTCCAGAGCAAAAATATCTAGAAGAAAACTTATCTTTCTATGATATACCCATTCGATTCCAAGTAGAAACTACAAATTTTATTCATGCTAACAAATTAGTTGTTCAGCAAAAACATGACTATTTCTATGTCAACTCATGTGATATATTAGATTTATACGGTTCAGACTCTGCGGTCTCTTTAATAGGTTCATGTTTCGCTAGAGAAAATTATCCGTGAGCAGCAAAGTGCCTTAAAGAGGCCTCAAGCTGATTTGCTGCTAGAGTCCGATGTGATATACAAATTATAGTCAAGTTACCTATCTAGGTGTAGCTATATATTTTCCCCATTAGGAACTCACTCGCCACATTATAGAAGAGTAGAAAGACGCCGTTTCGAATCGGCAGCGCAACGAGCCTCAGCCAAATGGAGGCGCGCGCATTTCAAAACAAAATGAAAACGACACAGAAAAACAACAAAAATCAAAGAAAATCAAAATGACAATGATAATAAAATAGAAAATATAACACAAGGAATCCATGAATAATGGCACCTGAATATGGCTGATTTCATAACTGAATTAGCTCGGCTAATTGGCAAGCTGTGTGTGTGTGTGAAAGAGAGTCCCATAAATAAGACATGATAAGCCAGGAAGTAGAAGTAGACAGCTAGCTTAATAGATATGTAGATAGATAAATAAAAATATGACTAGATGGAAAGATAGATGGACAGAGAGATAGCTGCATTGATATGGATACATAGATACATTGATAGAACGTTACAGAGATAGATAGATACGTGGATGGATAGATAGATAAATAGATAGATAGATAGATAGATAGATAGATAGATAGATAGATAGATAGATAGATAGATAGATAGATAGATAGATAGATAGATAGATAGATATATAGATAGATAGATAGATAGATAGATAGATAGATAGATAGATAGATAGATAGATAGATAGATAGATAAATGGATAGATGGATAGATAGATAGATAGATAGATAGATATGTGTGTATATAGATATATAGACAGATATATATAGATAGATAGATGGATGAATAGATAGATAGGTAGATAGATGTTATATGGATAGATAGGCAGATAGATAAGTATGTAGATAAATATAAAGACAGAAAAAAAGAGTTTAAACAGATAGATGAATGGATAGATAGATATTTTAATGGATAGATAGATAGATAAATATTTATATATAGACATATGAATAGATACAGACATAGTACATAGATTTGAAGACAAGTATGTTGATAATGGCAAGATAAACAGATATACTCAGATATAGAAAAGTAGATAAATATTTAGATATCTATTTATAATATATTTATAGATATTCAGAATGCACTTAAAAATACAAAAGGGTCGAAAGTATTGCTGTATATTAGACACAGATAGATTATAGAAGCAACAGCAAATTCACACGGAGACACACACACACACACACACACACACACACACACACACACACACACACACACACACTCACACACACTCACACACTCACACACACACACACCTGCTGACCCGCAAGGCATCGCATATATTTCGGTGTTTATAAAGCGTCCAACTTTGATCTACTCCACATATAAACTAGGCGCACGTGAGGCACGAGACTCGCCGAGCACACCGCCCAGCTGTAATCCTGCCTATAAGATAGATCCCAACGATGAACACGATGGTAGGCCATGTCAAATCAAATCTAATCTATATGGTTAATACTAATCTAATAACACTAATGCCCTGATTTATGCTACGCTGCTCAAGTGGCCAACTGTCGCACTGGACAGACACAACTCTGGACACGACTATCCCAACTTGTTTACTTACCCTATATAACTAACTATATTTTTCCACTTTATAATGTATTACAACTTTATATAACTCACTCTATATACATATATACATATATGTGTGTATATGGATATGTATATGTATATCTATCTATCTGTCTGTCGCTATCGGATACTTCTGGAATCTCGTACAGAAACATCATATACATATTCACAATTCCAAAAATCCGGACGTTTCACCGCGCCAGCAACAGTAATACCTAGATTTAAGAACTATTCGGTAGATGATTTTCATTTTCTGGCCGTGCTGGGCAAGGGCAGCTTTGGCAAGGTGAGTACGAAATCCATTAGAGACTTGGGTACACATAAAACTCCATCTCGTTCTCTCTCTCTCCCTCTCGCTGCAGGTGCTGTTAGCTGAGCTGCGTGATACGACATATTACTATGCCATCAAATGCCTTAAGAAGGATGTGGTCCTTGAGGACGACGATGTTGACTCCACGCTAATTGAACGCAAAGTTTTGGCGCTGGGCACCAAGCATCCGTATCTGTGCCATCTATTTTGCACATTTCAGACAGAGGTGAGTGCTGCCCTTGCAAGACAAGGTCGCCAGCAAGGTCGATAGGTTGGCGCACATATATGTAGCTTTCTCGACTCGTGTAGGTAATACCCGCCATACGTATCCGAGATATATAAAAATAAACAGCCTAAAGGTAAAACGTACTATTATTAGAGCACACTCTATCTCGCTCTCGCTCTCTCTCTCTCCCTCTCCCTCTCCCTCTCTCCCTGTGTGTGCTTTTTCTATTTTGACCATCGATTGGGGCACACGACATGGCATAGAGTCGACCGATCCGAGCAGCACGTAATTTGGCACGCACGTCCGGCACAACGTTCGACAATGTTCTCTTAACATTTTGACCAAGAAGCATTCAAGCTGTCTCTAGTCTAATCCAACCGACTGCATAATACTCTTTCACAGCTCGACACATTTTTCAGTGATTATCAAGAACATATTCAGGATATCTATAACTTTTAGCATTATAATCAACAAATTTGATAGTTAAGACTTTAATTCAAGCAGAGAAAGGGTTTCCTTATATATACATAATCTCTAGCATTCTCATAGTAAACCAATAACTGGAAAGCACTAAATTTCGAAAAGCAAATATACTCTTGCTCAGCTTGTGAGCGGGCATAAAAAACATATACATATATATAGTATGCAAAAGCGATTCAGACAAAGCAAACAATAAGTTTTCGCTGCTTGCATTGACACCGATTAGAAGGTATTTTAATTATTTATGACTTTGAGGATACACGCCCATTTATTTTGGGAGCCTAGCGCTACGGGCTTCACACCTTTAGACACACTTAACGAAAATATGCCACTGAATATTTGTAGATTCACGCGAATCAAGGTGCATCAAGGCCAGAGAACTTTGGAAATTTGGGAAACTAGAGAAAAGTATCACAAATTAGTTATATGAAGTCCTTTCAAGATGGACTTACTTTTGATAAATGTTATGCTATATATTATATCTTATACTCGCTCAGCGAGTGTAAAGAGAGTATCTTAGTTTTATGCAACGAGACTTTTATATTGCTCTCTCCCCCTCTCTCTGTTCGCGCACTTTCTCTTGCAGAGCCACTTGTTCTTTGTCATGGAATATCTGAATGGCGGAGATCTCATGTTTCATATACAGGAGAGTGGACGATTTTCAGAGGAGCGCGCTCGTTTCTATGGCGCTGAAATAATATCAGGCCTGAAATTTTTGCACAAGAAGGGCATCATATACAGGTGAGCACTGCTGAATATCTATATAGAATAACTTCTGCAACTACCCAACTGCTCTCTTGTGTGTAGGGATCTCAAATTGGATAACGTATTGCTCGACTATGAGGGTCATGTGCGTATTGCAGATTTTGGTATGTGTAAGTTACAAATATATTTGGATAAGACGGCCGATAGTTTTTGCGGCACACCCGATTATATGGCGCCCGAAATCATCAAGGTGATTTATCGATTAGCTAAGCATTTGAGCGATAACGATAACGATTACGATAACTTTGCAGGGCGAAAAGTACAATCAAAATGTCGATTGGTGGTCGTTCGGTGTGCTGCTCTACGAAATGCTCATAGGCCAATCGCCATTCAGTGGCTGCGATGAGGACGAATTGTTCTGGTCCATATGCAATGAAATTCCATGGTTTCCGGTCTATATATCAGCCGAGGCAACGGGCATACTTAAGGGCGTAAGTAAAACAATATTTACACACAGCTAAACACAGCTAAACGAATCAATCCGATTTCCTATAGCTGCTGGAGAAGGACTATACGAAACGTATTGGGTCACAGTATAGTCCAGCTGGTGATATAGCAGATCATTTATTCTTCAGGCCCATCGACTGGAATCTACTAGAAAAGCGGCAAATTGAGCCGCCATTCAAGCCCCAAGTGGTACGTACACTCATTGATCTCCAGATAGATATATATATATTTCACGACGGATTCGTATTGACAGAAACATCCGCTGGATACGCAATATTTCGATCGGGTATTTACCAGAGAACGTGTTCGTCTAACGCCCATCGATAAGGAAATACTCGCGTCCATGGATCAGAAACAATTTCACGGCTTTACCTACACAAATCCGCACATCACCTTGGACTAGATGCCCAAGTATAGATATTTGTAGTCAATGTGCTGGCCATAGACCGTATATATTTAGAATATTTATTTTGTAATATTAACTATTTAAATTCAGGAACCTAACCGCCAAGGCCATATCCCGAAAATTACTTCATAGAGCAACAGTATTTGTATATGTATGTATATATATCTATTATATGATTTATTCACTATGTTTTTCTCTAAGTGTAAAAAATTATTTTCTATTTTTTTTTTTTTTTTTTTTTTGTATATGCGTTTGCATATAAATATGCGCATTAATAGGGTTACTTAAATGTATCAATGTGCAGATTCCTAGCTAAGTAAAGCTGAGCCAACTATCGTCCCAGATCGAACTATACATACATATGTATATGGAAATCTGAGTTGATTTTGGCCATTGCAGTTACAAAGTTACGAATACGTTTATTATGATAGTCACTTAGCGGTAAATAAACATACATATAAGAACTTAATTGTATATATATATATATATATATATATATATATATATATATATTACATATTACTATATACATATATATATATGGGTAACATATTAAAATCAAGCAACTTCTTTTTTTTTTTTGATTAGCTCTATACCAAAGTCTAAGTATGTACTCGTTATGCTAAAATAAAAATTGAGAAAAATATGTAAATAATTCAGATACAACTGGAAATCGATTATTTTTGAAACGAGCATATCAGTTTTTGGGAAATAATTATTTAAAAGTAATGTGCAATTTTTTTTTATTTTTTTATTTTTTAGTAGACAGTACTATTTTCGTAAACAACTAAATTTTGGGCATTTTTCTTTCCCAGGAACTGAAGTTTAGAACCCAAAAAAATATTTAAATGAATCTTAATATAAATTTCAAAAACTTTTTAAAATATTGGTTTATCTGTGTTGTACAACATTTGATGCTTTACAAGTTGCAGATGAGAAATGCCCGGATAGAGTTGGCTATAATTAGATGATGCATATCTCAAAGCCGTTAAAGTCGTTGAGTTCATTCCAACTGGTTTTCTTACGTGCATTCTGTATGCAGTCAAAAGAGACATTTGTGTTTATTTCTGTTTACATACATAGCATTTAACAATTAACTGAATGACTTTGCCGTTAGAAATGATAATGCGAATGATAATAGGTCAGCGAGAGTGTTCGCCCATTCCGGAGTTCACTGTACCGTATTGCGAACCGATGATAGTGAAAATATGGCTTACCAGCCAGTCATTGTCAGCTGTGCTCCAGTGATCGGTGGACGCTTTTCCATTTGACGATTTGCATAAGCCATTGTTCACTCTTGGCCACATTTTCATGCAAATGAGCTCGGCCACAGCACCAGCACCAGGTGACACACAAAACAGCAAACAGCGAACAAGAAGAACAATTTAAGCGAGAGTGGCTCCAGTGAGGGAGCGAGAGCCCACGGCTCGGACGGCAGTAGCGCCATTTATGAACCAGGTTGTGCGCCAGTTTTGATGGCCGGCTTCTGAGCAAAGACAAAAGCAGCGCCGGGTGAACATTAAAAGAATTATTCTTGTTAGCTCTAGCATAAATCATTTATTAAACAACTAAAAGCGCACACACACACATAGCCAGACACATGCGACAATTTGTGTGTAGGCTATAAAAATGATAGAAGAAGTGAAATGTTAACGACAAACAACAACTAACAACAACAACAATAAACAAAGTCAAGTTAGCTGTTATATTTTTATTTTCATTTCAAAGCTTAAAGCATTTAATGCACAGTGGTTCAAGGTCTAACAAATACTGTACGCATACTAGCTGCATTCAAACTGCATAGCAAACTAAGACTATTCAGCTTATAGATGCTTCGTCTACTTTTATTTTTACTTTTCCCTTAAATCTCGTATGCCACATTAAGTCAACTTTTTTTCTGTACAATATATAAACATGTGAAAATTTGGCAAATTTTCGCTGCATTGCGCCTCACAGTGAATAAATCTCGCCATTGCACTTTATTTGACACATGGCAGCACTAGGAAAGCAGCTTCCGATTGTCATTACAATTTATCGAACTGCGTTGCCAACTCATTTACAGAAAATTGCCAATTAGCTGACGTTGGCCACCATTGCCAATAATAACACAATTTATGATGCAAGATCTCTGCATTGATATAGAACAAAAACAAATTTCAGTTGGAAAATATTTGATTTCCACGCCTTAAACCACTGTGCGGTTCGTTTCATAAAGCATGCGTCGGAATTTTCTCTAATTAATTCATTTGTGTGTGTATATGGGATTGTGCACTAGTGTGCGTGTATGAGCTCTGCTCTCTGGCAGTCTCTGGCGCAGTGCGTAGCTTGGTCAAAATCAGTTGGTGCAATACCGGCCTAGAATGAGCTGCTTGGCTCTACATTAGCTCCGCAACAAACTCCCATAATTATTTTGTTACGTTTTTTTGTTTGTTTATTTTTCTAATGTGCACTGCAATTGCAAACAAATAAACTGAAAAGCTGAGACGTGCACAAGTGTTGTAAAAGACTGCAATTTGTGAACATGTGCCTGCCCGCCGCTGCTTAGCGATGAATCTGATCCTGCCAACACTGGCAGCTGTGCTGCATTTGCATTTATTGTTGTTGGTGTTGATTTGCAGCTGCGAATTTGTGCTACCGCAGCCGTTGCCCCCGGTCCGCCGCAATATAATCAAAGTGCGTGCGACAGGCTTCTTGCCATTCGAATCGGATCTGGTGCTGCCGCTAGGCATCTTACGCCAGCTGCAAGCACAGGAGCGCGCCTCGCGCGTACTACCGCCCGCACGCTACGCCAAGCCGGCGCGCAGGAAAACCAAGCCAAAGGTCAAGCAACAGCTGCGCCTGGAGCGCGCTCACATGCGTGGATCAGCCGATAAGGATGCAGGCATCCAACAGTACAATCTGATCGACGACGACGGTGAGCTGTTGCTCAATCTGCGCGTGCACAGCGACAACGAGAGCCATAACAACGGCAACAGTCACAGCCACAGCAACCTAGATGTGGACAAGGGCGCACCCTGGCGACCTTCGAGATGGCGACCCACAACTAGCGCTCCGCTGATAACATCATCCTCGCCGCGCCCACTGCCGCTGCATCAGTATCTGAGCAGCGCTAATAGCGTGGAGCAGGCTACCATGACGCAGCAACGACGCATGTTTGGAGCTCGTCCAGATTGGATCTACCACTGACATACGAGCCCGATCTTTAATTACAAATCTCTTAATTTAATTTCAACACACACATTTGTCAACCACACACACTCACTATCACACGCACACACACACACACAGACTCACTTAATACATTAAACAAAAATGAAAAAAAAATTGATGAAGTCAACATGTTATGGGCCTATTAATCAGCTCGTTTAGCCTATAAAGGTTATGGTAATGGACTGTCGAAACGAAGCCTAAAGGAAAGCGGGTGGAACAAAAACCAGTTGCACTTTTCCCTATGCAAATGGCCAGTTTAGACCGATTTGGGAATTAAAATAATTTATAATGAATTTGAATTGTAAATGTGATGCATGCTTATGAGATGAGCTGTTTATGCATTAACTACAGTTAGATGATCTGTGCGATGCTTGAGTATTTGGTAACCCAATCCCCTAATTGATGGCCCGCTGGGAAATGTGGGAAGCTTCAGCATGAGCATAAAACAAACAAAAGAGAGAGGAAAGGGGGTTTTTAATAGATCGTGAGATTAGCGACTAGTAGATACCCTAGGTTTAGCACGGAGCTTTTGCTGCAAGTCTTCCTAAACCTAATTTTTCTATGATAATATATGATATATGATATATGATATATGATATATGACATATGATATATGATATATGATATATGATATATGATATATGATATATGATATATGATATATGATATATGATATATGATATATGATATATGATATATGATATATGATATATGATATATGATATATGATATATGATATATGATATATGATATATGATATATGATATATGTGATTTAAGAAGTAAAGGACTAAGGATCCCAGAAGTTTTAGAAGCTAAATATTTTGAAATTTCTGATACAAATTTTTATTCTAACAACAATCGATTAATTTCTAGGAATTTTAATCAAATTTCAGTTGAAAAATAAAACTGCCAAGCCCATATCTTTAGTTGTCTTATAAATCAATTCGATTTCAATAAGAATTCAACAAAGTTTTGAAATTCTAAAAGATGAAACTATTTCTTTGGAAAGTTAAGAAAGTTCCCAACTTGGGGAATTCACTATTCGTAAGCTTCCAAATTTCCATATTATATTCAAAACTTCTTCGTACATTTCAATATGTATTTATTTTTCAACAGAAAAAAAATGATGCTTAGGCTAATGGAAAAAAAATGGGGGTATTACTAAAACTATTTAACAAAGGAGGTCACAGTTATGACACAGTTCGAATCACAGATCAACTGGGGACAGTTGAGGAGATTATTTCCAGGCGCCAACTGGAGGCAGGTAGCCGGGCTGGGGAGCCGAGACAACTGGGGGCAGGTACTCGTTGTGGGTGGCAATGGGCGCTGGGGCGGCCTCTTCGTGAATTACCTTGACGGTCTTCACCTCCTGGTGGACATGGCCGACGTCGTGGCCGCTGCCATGGGAATAGCCGCCAGCATAGCCACCACCGCCCAGAGCATAGCCGCCATCCTGATGGATGACCTTCACAGTCTTGACCTCCTGGTGACCACCGTAGCCGCCGCCATGGGAGAAACCATGATGGACAGCTGGAGCCTCCTCATGGATAACTTTGACGGTTCTCACTTCCTGGTGGCCGTGTCCGCCGTGTCCACCGCCATGGGAGAAGCCACCAGCATAGCCACCGCCATGGGAGAAGCCACCAGCGTAGCCGCCGCCGCCGCCCAAAGCATAGCCGCCATCCTGATGGATGACCTTCACAGTCTTGACCTCCTGGTGACCACCGAAGCCACCGCCATGGGAGAAACCATGATGGACAACTGGAGCCTCCTCATGGATAACCTTGACGGTTTTCACCTCCTGATGAGCATGACCAATGTCGTGTCCGCCGCCATATGAGATGCCGCCGGTGTAACCACCGCCGCCGCCCAAAGCATAGCCGCCATCCTGGTGAATAACCTTCACAGTCTTGACCTCCTGGTGACCACCGAAGCCGCCGCCGCCGCTGCCGCCATGAGCGAAACCGTGATGAATTGCTGGGGCTTCCTGGTGGATGACCTTAATGGTCTTCACCTCCTGATGATGGCCGCCATGACCGCCAATGTCATGATGGACAATTGGTGCTTCCTGGTGGATGACCTTAATGGTCTTCACCTCCTGATGGTGGCCGCCATGTCCATGTACAAAGCCACCATGGTCATGGCCGCCTTCATGGATAACCTTAACCGTGCGCACCTCAGAGTGGCCATGACCACCACCACCACCACCACCGCCGCCGCCACTGCCGATGCCATAACTGTAACCTCCACCGCCGCCGCCGACGCCGCCACCACCGCCAATGATGCCTGCGGAGCAGGTGGCAACAAGTGCGGCAAACAAACACACAAAGATCTGGGAAGGAAATGCGAGCGTTAGAAATGCCAGCCCAATCCTGCACAACTAATGACTTACCTTCATCGCTGGAAGTTTCTTGCTTGGGACGAAATCTGTGGAACTTCACGTAGCTGAAGAATGCAACCGTAGAGGCAACTGATGATCATCTTCGAGCAGTCGCACGCTTTTATACGCCGACCGCGTTCATTATGCTGATTCGTCTTCTTCTTCGCCGTCGTCGTCGTCGTTATCCGGTGCCTTGCCCAATGAGCCGTTGTTGCGGCTTTCGCCTGAAGCTGGCCGCGAAGAGTCTGCTGTTTGCTTTCGTCATCGATGGCGCGGGCCCCCGAATCGGATTTTATGGTAAGCAGCGGCGAGGCGAACTGTGAACGGGGCAAGTGGAGCACTAAATTGCTAAAAAATTCAAATGAGACGTAAAACCCGTTGACCAGCATTTCCAAAACACATTAAATCCAAATAGCCAAATAACCAAATAGCCAAATAACTAAATAACCAAATAGTATCAGTCCCAGCACACAAACCGGTGCGATTTTCAAAGGTAGGTCATGTCATTGCCTGACCTCGACAGCATTTGCTTCAGATCCATCACTTTCTATGACCCCATTACAGTGCGCTCCGTTTGAGCGAACTCTAAGCTCGCCTCGCATTACGCAAGATATCATAAAGCTGCTCTTAAGCGCTCGATTAATAATGCATGCATCTGCACTTTTCCCTTTTATACTAACTGCTTGCTGACCAGTCTACTAGAGCCTCAATTCTAAAAAGCTCTCAAGTTCCTTAAAGCATTCCTTCTTGTAGAAAAAGAACTACTCAATTTCCACCTCTCCTCTGTTAAAGAAATGTTTTCAAATGTTTAAAAGTTTTTTCGATTACTTTTATACCAAAAATATAGTTCCTGAAACCTCCTCAGTGAATTACATTGATTAGTTCTAAAGTGCCCAAAAGCTATACTTAGACTTGCAATTCAGAGTACTTTCAAATGAGTCTAGTTCTAAAGGCTCTTAAGCGCTTTACAGCTGCATTCGAGTATTCATCTTGATCCAAGAGAAACTATTTTTATTTTCATAAACTTAAGGCCTACTCTTATACTAAAAGCTTCATCTAATTGTAACGCGCTTTTAAGCTGTTCTTAAAAGCTTGCAAGTGCATTAAAGCTGCATTCGACTAGATCAATTAATGAATGCCAAGTTTCGGCTGCTATTAATTTAAATGCCAAGCTTCTACTCTTCACAAAACAAGTATGACTTAAGCAAAAGCTTCTTGTTCTATTAAAAGCTATTTGGCTGTTCAGAAATAAGCAACTTTCAATGGTTGCAAGCTCAGCAGCTTTTGACTAAAAGATTCTAGGCTACTTTTAAGCTTTAATGAGGTCAATAAAAATTGTAATTCCAATAATTTAGCTTACAAAGCCAATTAGTTGTATAAATAAAGCTGTTCCTAAAGGGTCTCAGCTTTTCAAAAGTCACAATATTTTATTGTTAAATACCTTCGAAGAGTGAAATGTCAAAGCAGACCAAAACCCACAACAACAACAACAAATGCAATAAACTATGTCAATTTTTTGCTGCTATCTATGGGTATTTTATTATTTATTTTTTGCTTTTATTTCTAAGCTATTATAAAAATATATATATATATTATTTTTAAGCTCTCCCTGATACGTTTAAACTATAACACCCATAAGCCAAGTTTTTTATGCATGTTTTTTATTCACCATTTTTTTTACATTATTTTTCAGCTAGTTTTGGTATCAAATGGAAATCAGTTGTCAGATCTGAGTTGACCAACTCGGGTTTCGTTTGTGATTGTGTAAATGCTTTTGCGAATTTTGAATAGCCATTAAAAATGAAACCGCGAGCTGATTTTATGTTATTTTTCTCTTCAGGTCTTTCGCTTGAAAAAAAAAAGAAAAAGTGTTTTAAATAAAAAACGATCGCGGGAGGGAGGAGGTTGGATGGGAAAACAATGCTAAATTGGGCTTTCAATGGGCTAATCAATCAGTAAAATGTGTGAACATGCTATACGGCGATCTATAATAAAATTCCCTTTTATATGAGCTTGAGAGATCAATTAGTAGCTGTTGTGATCGCTAGCCTAAAGGCATTTAAAAATAAATTAATAGAAGAGCTCATTTATGGGGCTCTAAACCCAAAATTCTTATCTCTGCGGCTCAACAACGTGAAATGGCGAGCAAGAGCTTCGACACTCTGCAAACCCATTAGAAGACTGTTCAGATGAGATATACACATATAAATAGATATATCTATATATATATATATAATTTTTTACAGAAATAGGATCTTTCGAATGAGCCAAAGCTAAAAGTGGGCAGAGCTATTAAATTTAATTATTCTACACCAATGGGTATTATGCGTATAAAAATTTTGGACGATATGTTTGAATAATATCATTAAAGATCATGATCGGTGCTTCAGCTGAGTGTTCTTCAACTGTAGAATATATCTCCAAAAGTTTGGGCATAAGCTCTACAATTTCAGCTATCTAAGATATATTAACGATATTACCAAATATTGCCTGACAATAGTGCCGATAATGCGTCTCTTATCATATATCATAATAAAAAATATTCGAATATATTTTGTTACGTATCACATCATCCGAACTTTCACTTTGTTGCACTGAAATAGAATGAGATGGGTAACTAGACAAAGACAAAGATAGCGCATGTGGTTTTTAGTTGTAGTTGATTTTCATGTCATCATCATCATCGTGATGGTGATCAGTATCATAATTATTATTATCATCATCATTATCATCTTATCAATTCGTTTGTTCCAACGCCTTCTTTTAATTACAAAAAATTTCTACAAATATTCATTGATTGTTAACAAAAATGAAAAATTAAAAATCATATATGTATAAATATATATATATAGATAAAAAAAAATTAAAGAAGGAATACCTTGTATCAGTATACTATATCCAGCGTATTAGATATAAGAATTATACAAATATAATAATAATATTAACAACATTACAGTTATGCGTTATTAAATTTAGTGATAATGGTAAACATTATAAAGAATAAAAAAAATATATATATGTTTATATGTATATCGTATAGTAGATGCACATATATATATATATATGTATATATGGTATACATATATATATTAAGTAGTATGTATAGGATGTAAAAATAGAAACATCGCTCTCTCGCTCTTTTTCATACGATAATAAATATTAATGCTGATGACATATTTGTATTGAAGAAAATACTCGCGCATGTTATGTGGGTTTAGAGTTTGTGTATATATGTATGTGTATGTGTGTATGTGTTTGTGTTTGTGTGTGTGTGTTTGTGTTTAAGCTTAGGTAGTATAAATATAAGTAGATTGTAGATTTAGGCGCAATTGCGCAGCCGTTGCGTAGGCAGTTGCAGAAGAGACGAGAAACCACCTACAAGCCGGCAATCACGCGATCACACAACTGTTGCGACTGTGGCTGGTTGGCGTCTTGCAGCGATTCCGACTTTTCGAGTTTTGTGTTAACGAATTGTAGCACTGTGACGTTGTCATGGCATACGACTTAAGTGTCGACTTAACGGAGGGCGGCAGGTGCAACGAATCGATAGCATAAACACTTGTGCGACGCACAATTGTCCGACAGCAGAGCTCCTGCAGCGACAACACTGAAAATGAACAAGTGTATAAATGAATAAGTACAACAAAAATAACTTCTTTAAATTATAGTTAACTACGCGTACCCTTATTGCTGCGCCAAATGTGCTCCATGCCATTGCGATGCAGCGCCATGCGGGCCAACTCGCAAAATGACTCACGTATATTGAAGTCGCAGAGTGGCGATATTTCAAAGCAGGACATATTGTTGCGCGAGGCATAGGTCTCCGCCTGTTTGGCGGCCACCTGACGCTTATAGGCTAAGTGTAAACGATTGCCCACCAGCACCTTGGGTATGCCAGGTGCATGCTATAAAATATATTCATATTAATTTATTGATTTGAATGCTTAGCTAATGCAGCACTCACCTCCTCGACCTCTTTGAGCCAACGATCGATGCCATCGAAGCTCCATTTGTTTGTTATATCATACACTAAGATAATACCCTGAGCACCACGCGAATAGGAGCGTATAATGGTACAGAAACGACCCTGGCCGGATGTATCCCAGATCTGTAGCTTAACCCGTTTGCCTTCCAGCAATATGGTTGTCGTTTTGTATGCTACCGTTTGCAATATGTGAGAGGTGCAATCTATATATGAGTTGGGTGTATGCCAGAGCCATGAATACAACAATGATCGACCCACTTACCATTCCCACTGCAGAAGGGGCTTTCGGTTGAAGGATCCTCCAGATTGGACAGTATTTCATGTTTGCCCACATCGCTGTCCCCAACCAGTAGCACCTTTAACAGATAATCGTAGTCTTTTGTCATGGTTCTCATATAGCTAACCGTGTTGCTCAACCTGCAACAATAACGAAACAAAACATAAAAAAGCAGGTTAGTTACCATTTTTAACAAGCCAAAGAATGCGAGCCCAAGTTCTTGCATTGCTTGTGGCCCGAACTAACCGGTATAGATGAGGGGGCGCTAGAAGGGAGGGCGGGCCATAAGCTGCGCCAGATAAGCGCGTACACAAACAACGCACCACCAACAACAACAACAACAGGCAGCCCAGAAACTGCAAGGTGCCAAAGTCGAACCGGCAATTTTTTTTTTTGTAATGTGGGAAGAGTAACATTTATCTAGTGAGTCATTCAGCAGAAGCACACAGATACAAATAGGTACAAACATACACAGATGTTCATATGCAAATGGGCGTGAATATGCCAAAAACGAAAGCACACACACATATATACATGTATAAATAATATAGGATCCTACAACAGTATCTGCCTTTTGCCGGTTTGTACCACCCTATGCTATGTATGATGGTGTTTGCTTCGTTTTTCGCCTGGTGCCAATCATTTGGGTGTGTTTTGTTTTGCACCGCAAACGAGGCGACAACAACAACAATGGGGAAAACAACAGCAGCAACATCAACACACACTCACACACTCTCTCTGTCACACACGGAAAAACAATGAGCAAATTATACAAACATTAAGACTGACACTCACAGACGGCAATATTATTTTAATGTATTGTACGGCAGCAGCAGCTATTTATTGTTTACGCTCAACAATTGCATTTTATTGTTTTTAAGTTTGCAAAAAAATTTAAACGAAAAGTACGGCGCACGTAGAAATTGCAGCACAAACGACAGAAACTTATTTTACCCAAATACGCATATGCACATGCGAACAGGGTTGCAACCACATATCACCTATCGCCAATCTGACGCTATCGATGGAATTCGCATGCTATCGATGTTTCTGGTTTTATTTTTGTTTTGATTACACTGAATTTTGAATCAACGCAAATAACACTACGTTCCTAATTGCCACTTTCTGCTCACACTAACAATGGTTAATTATATCAAGATAGAACGTGATAACGAAAATGCTGAGCTATCAAAGCTACAAAGGCGTGTACTTCAAAGCCGCTACATACTGCTCCTTACATGTGTGTTACTTATTTGTTTAATAACGCTGACTACAAAGGTGTCGGATCAGCTGCAAGTGCAGCACAACCAACGCTTTGTATGCTATTACTCAACTTCTGGACCCGATAAGTTGAGCCTGTTGGATGTGCCCGGAGATTTGTGCACGCATATTAACATTGGCATTGCCAATTTATTCAACACGACGTTGCAATTGTCACCGCGCCTAGAGCAAGTGCTTCAGAATGAGACACGCCTCTTTCGTGCTGCCCATCCAGAGGTGAAGCTGCTGCTGTGGATTGGCGGTGCGGACAGTGGACATCAATTTGCCGACATGGTAGCGAATCATGGTCGCCGCAAACAATTTCTACGCTCACTTCGTACCGTGCTTCACAAATATCCCACCTTAGATGGCATCGATTTGGACTGGGAGTTTCCACGAGCCTACGACAATGAACGCATGCACTTCTCCCAACTGCTGCACGAAATTCGCCTCGAGTGGCGACGCGAGAAGCTCGTTAACAATCTGCTAACTTTGGCCGTAGCTGCACCTGAGGGCATCGCATTCTTTGGTTACAACATACGGGAAATCAACCTGTACGTGGACTATGTGAATCTAATGTCCTACGACTTCCATTTCTACCGTGAGGATACGCCGTTTACTGGATTGAATGCGCCGCTCTACGCCCGTCCCATGGAGCATTCCATAATGGCCACCTTCAACATCAACTACACCGTTCACTGGTGGTTATCAAATGGCTTGGAGCCCCAGCGTTTGGTCATTGGTCTGCCCACTTACGGGCATTCCTTTACGTGAGTAACTTTGTTTTTGAATTAATAGGTAGTGTACTCATTCTTAATAATTTACAGCCTTATGAGTCCTTTAAACAGCCGAATAGGCGCGCCTGCATCCGGATTTGGAAAATGTGGTCAACTAGGCTTCACTACGCTGTCAGAAACGTGCGAATGCGTTAATCAATTTATTGAACCGACTTACACATATGACAACGATACCTGCTCGCCCTATCTAAGCTCTGTGCAGGAATGGATCTCTTATGAAAGCAAGACGAGCATCTCCTGCAAAGCTAACTATGTCAAGTCCATGAATGTGGGCGGCCTAATGATCTTCTCCCTCAACACAGATGATCTGAAGAACAGCTGTGGCTATGTAGCCGGAAATGCCAAAGAGCTTGCTAAACCTGTATTTCCACTAGCCCAAGTTGCAAATGCCATTCTAAGAGCTCCCTGAAATGTGGAGTTAATGAAGTCGATCCAAGATCACGATGCCAATTAGTCAAATATTTTTTGTTCAGGTATTTCAATGTATTATATATCCCTGGTAACCTCGTCGTGTGGAAACATGTGTATATACATAGATAGATGGATAGATAAATAACTTCAAAAGGATAAGCGTTAAATATAAATAAGCCCTAAGTTTGTTAAGAATTGTGTAATATGCGCTCATGTGATAGAAGACGTTTCCTACAGAACGATTCTTCTGCTGTCCAAAGATCAGATTTATTGTTTGTTTTGAACTAAAGAAAAAGAAAAACAAAGAATGTTAATGTACGAATTACTTTTTTAATTTATGTACGCATAAGTATAAATAAAAATTATCACAATCGATCCATATTCATAATATAACTAGAAATTTTAACACGCAAATTATATTTACTTGTATGTTAATATGACGATTATACATAGATAATTAATTGGACGCTAGAAAAGGGGCGGGGTGCTAGCTGTGTGACATAAAAGGACACAGGTGCTACACATATAAACAAGCAAAATAGAGGAATGAAAATAAACAGCTTCGTTAAGTAATGCTCGAAGACTACATTTGCATAAGGTCGACGAAGTGAAAATTCTGATACAAATCCGACTGGATTGCCGGCTGTTGGGCACGTCGCAACCATGCCAGAGACGGCAATCATGTGTGCTTGGCTGGTCGCTGAAGATTTGGAGGCGGCGCGGCAAGCAGCTCATCGATTTGTATTTTATACGCCTGCTTCAGCTCGACCAGATCCAGCTCGAGCTCCTCAGTGCGTTCCACCTTCTCGCCGTACATTTGCAGCAAAGCATCGTAGCGATGCTGCAGATCCTCATAGCATTTCTCCATAGCTTCATAAGATTGCACTTTCTCCTTTAACTGCAGGAATTGAAAATTAAGAATTGAGTGATGGCAACAATAATTATCAGTTACTGCTAACCGTTTCCATTTCCATAGTTAAATTGGATATTTCGTTGTCCAGCACGCCGCGTTCCGCCTGCAGACGCGACAGTTCCCACTGCAAATGCGTTAGTTCGCCATCGCGCTGCTTGAGCAGCGCCTGCAGATGCTCGAGCGTTGTGGTATTTCCAGCTAAAAAGCTCAAATGCACGCCCTGAATCATGCCCGACTGCTGTCGTCCACTGTTCGATGCGCATTCCAAATCATCCTGAATAAACAATATAAAAAAATATTAAAAGTGAATCACAGAATTAATTAAACAATTTGCTTACGCCCTGCCAATCAATAATGCCGCCCAGTGCATCCTCATTGGAGCCGCTGTCATCCGCCAGGCTGAGCGGTGGAGAGACGTGCAACTGCTTCTGGCAACGATTCTCCGACAGCTCGTTGCTGGCCTTGACCGCCTCCACGGTTAGTTCGCTGCTTCGCTGAAAGGCATGCAGTTTTCGCAATTCCGCTTCCAATTGTTGGCATTGTTCAGCCAAGGATTCTAGCTTGTCCTGGCGCTGCTTCAGCTGCACCTGCAGCGTGCTCAGTTGGCTAAACATAAGCAAATCAGGATGGTCAAAATATAATTGTCATTAAAGAAAACCCTCTCACCTCTTGTAGTCATTCTCTCTGATACTGGCATCCAATTCCTGCTGACGTAGTTGAATTTTAGCGCTTTCTGCTTGCATTAGAGCATTGGCTAGTTTCTCCTCGAGCAGGTCGCAGCGTGTGCGCAGCAGCTCCTGTTTCTCGTGCTGCACCGTCTCGAGCTGCTGTAGCGAGCGCAGTTGCGATTGCGCATCCTCCAGCTTCTCGAGCAACTGCTGCTCATCCTTGTTCCAGGTGACGGTGCGTTGATTGAGCGTCTTCTGAAGCGATTCGATTTGTCTAATGAGCGGCGTCGTCGACACGCTAAGCTCTTGGGTACTGCTCTCAGCCCGCGATTCGGCCGCCTCGAGTCGACGCATCAAATCACGCTTCTCTTCGCGCATCTGCTGCTCCCGCTTCACCATGTTGTGCTCGGTGATTCGCAACTTTTCACGCATTTCGCTCAATTGTTGCACATACTCCTGATTCTCGGCTTGCATTTGATTCTGTTCGTGGCGCTGACGCTGCTGCAGGTCACCTTTGACGCCATCGAAGCTCGCCTGGAGCGCAGCCAGCTTCGATTGCAAATCCTCGATACGGCTGCGACATTCAGCGTTCTCCTCATCCACGCGCCGTTTGTCATTGGTCATGCGGCAAACGGCTTCAATTTGTGAACGTTCCATTTCCTCCTTGGCGGCCAGGGATTTCTTCAAGCGTTCCGATTCACTGGACAGCTGTGAGATTTGCTCGCCATTTTTCTTTAGCAGTGTGTCCGAGGTCTTCTCCTTGGCGCGCAACTTCTTGATAATGTTCGATTGCTGCAAAATCTCCTTGGAGAGTTTCTCACCTTCGGACTGCAGCGCTGTGATCATTTCATTGCTTTCAGTTAACTCATCCTTGGGTATTTTGTTGAGAAGCTCGTCCTTAAGGCTCTTGATTTGTATGCGCAATGCATCCCGTTCCCGTATGCTAGCCTGAAATTTCTTTTCCAATGCTGAGAGACGCTGCACTGCCTCGTTGGCCTCGCTGCTGTTGGCACTATTCTTGGCCGCCTCCATATGGGCGCACAGCTGTTGATTGCGCTCGAGGAGCTCAGCATTCTGACGCTCCGATTGTAGCAGACGCTGTTCGCGCGCCTCGATTACCTGATTGAGTTCACTTATGCGATGAACTAGTTTGTCCAGCTCCGACTGCGAATCCTCTGACAGCAATGAGATCTCTGATGGTTCGCGGTGGTGACCCTTGCCTTGCTTGTGACCATGCAAGCCATGACCATGCCCCTTAACACTGCCGCACAGCTCTTTGAACTTTTGCGGACTCGTGCGCGTCGTCGTGCTATTTGTACTGGAATCACCATTTGGATTCGATATGATCTCAATGTCCGACGATGTGGACGAGTAGCTCTGATCGGGTAGCTCCGTTTTGTTTGCGTGCTGACAGGCCTCTGTGCTAACCGGACTGCCGGCCGACTTGCTCTTGTGACTCAACTGCAGTTGGATATCCTCAAAGCTTTGCGTCGAATCCGAATCGGCACCAGCCCCAGCGCCAGAAACATTGACGGCAGTTTGTGTGTCGCTAAATACCAAGGCTTTCATTGTTTTGGTAGAATCTGCAGAAATGCAAACGAGAATATATCTTAAATTTCCATAAGATTACAATTGATATCGATCTGGAGACAAACTTACCATTCAAATGTAATGAATGATCATCCTGATCCAAATTGAGCACTTGCCCATCATCATCTTCGTCAATCGCATCATCGTCGTCATCGTCATCGTCGCCATCCGCATTGTCAGATGTTTCGTTGCTGGCTATTATGACTATGCTATCCGGCAGCGAAGGTTCCGTATCCGGGGACATATTCATTTCCACTTCACTGGCTGTTGTTGGCGCTGTTATTAGCTCCAGTGATGATTCGGAATTGCGTAAACATCCGACACCAGTTGGCGACGTGGGTGATGGCGATGACAGAAGATCCACGGAATCTGACGTGGCCGACTGTCGTTTCGCATAGAGATTGGCCGGTGCTGACGCTGAGGCATCGCTCGCTCTGGGCGGAATGGTTACCATCTCGTTCGCATGCGGATTATCATAGAATATGGCCCCGTCTATAGCTGATGTGTTTAATGTGTTTGCTGCCGAACCTTTGGCGCCGGCCATCGATGATGCTGCGCTGCTACTGCTGCTGGTTGCTGTAGTGCTACTGCCAGCGTTATCTGTTGCCTTGTTGTCATCATCCTGAATATCAAGCGCTTCGATTAGAACCGTTTTGGCTTTTTCGAACCAACTCATGCCTCTTCTGTTTGTGTTCTAGTCCGCTATCTCTGTTACGCTTAGTGACCGCAGCACATTAATAATTAAATGATTTGGCAACAACTGCGATTTTACAAACACGAAGACATTATTAAAAAATCTTGTTTCGTAGCTGGTTAGCAACATCTACTGATATCGCAATGATATTTCGATAGATTGCTATCGATTTCTGTTTACCCGGCATAAAATGCCTTAACTAACTATGACAGCCCAGTAAAAGAATTTTTAATTTCGTTACAATTTCAATTTCCAAGATTAGAATCATAAACCAACTACGTAAATTTTTTTAGTTAAACAACGAACAACACTACCATCGATACCATTTGTACTCCTATTGTTTTGCGCTGACAATCGTGACTTTATATATCGCTATCAGTTTAACTTGTGTGCTGGTATTTTTCAACACCAAGATTTGCGATTATATTTTGTGGTGGTCGGCCAATAAATTGTGGTGGTCAAAAGCAAAGCAAAGAGTACACATAAAACGAAAACGGAGATGTTAAAAATAAAATAGAGAAAACGGAAACAGTAATTTAAATTGCGAGTGGTAATCAAGCGGATTAAGCGTAGTTAGAGTCCAGAACTATTTTGGCTTTCGGTATAACAACAACAACAAGAACAGCAATCAACTACGCACAGACAACTGACACCAACACTTAGAACCAATACACCGACACTGACACCGACGACCGACGTGCGATTAACGCCCTCCCATCGCTCCGCACTTTTGGCACCCGCACCCACACTCACTCATACACAGACGCATACACGCATACACGCATACACCTCTCTGTACACACATTCATCATCATCATCATCATCATCATCATCATTATTATTGCACAGGCGAAGGCAGAAGGCACATAAACACACTTAAACACTTATCTATATACCGCATTTATCAACGCCGCCCGTCACTGCTGCCGCTGCTGACCCACCAACCACCTCCCACCACCCACCACCTCCCAAAACCCTGATCCATAACATCAACTTTGTTTGCTATTGTTGTCTGCTGCTGCTGTCATTTGTTTTGTTTCCTTAAATGTGAACGCACGCAGAAACACTCTCCTCTACACATACACGCTCCCGCGAACACCTACACACATACACACCCACACACACACACCTACGCGCAAAACACGAAGGAGCAAACAAAGACAGCTCCAATAAGAATAAATAAACTAAACTGCAACAAAACAGCAGCGACCGAGAGAGACTCCAATTGAGAGCGAAAACGAAAAGTGCAATAACGAGTGCGAGTGGAAGAGTGCAAGCCCAACCAATCAACGATCGAGGGGCACAGGGGCAGCGGGGGGTGGGCAGAGGCCGTGCGTGATAGAAAGAAACTCAAACTCTATGGGTCAAAAGGCAAGCACACCAGCGACCAGCGGCCAGCAGAGCCCACGCTCCAGAACATTCTCAAGCAGCTCAACGGGTGCCACTGCCACCGAGTCAACGCCGCAAGGCTCAGCGGTTGGTGGCCGGAGCGGCGATGCCGGTCAGGGTTTCAATTTGCTGCGCACATTGCCCGGTCTACAGGTCTATCATCATCATCACAATCAGCAGAACTCCACATCTATAGATCGGCAGCGTGCACGCAGCCTCAGCTCAGTGCCCGACATACAACAACAACAACAGCAGCAACAACAACAACAGCAGCAACAACAGCAGCAACAACTACAACAGGGATCGAGCACGTACCCGAACACACATCCCGCCGTTTCAGTCTCTGTATCAGCTAATTCAAATAGCAGTAGCTTCCAAACGGCAGCCGGCAACAACAACAGTTCCTCGGCTGCCGCACAGAGCTATATGCAACAGCGGCGCGCTTTTGGTGACTCAATACGCGTAAGTTGCACTCAGTCTCCTTGCCTCCCATTCAAATTAACCCACAAACCTCTGTCTCTCTCTCTCTTTCCATGTCGCTCTCCTTCTCTTTTTATCATTGCCTTGCAGGACATGTCGATGACTGGCGCAAATATCGTTGAGAGCATCGCGTTGGCTGCATCTGCAACATCAGCGAATGGCATTGGCCGTGTTTACACAGCAACATCGCTTCCATCGCACATTTGGTCTTTCAATGGTAGCTATATATTTCTGTATATATTAATCAGTTATTAAACAACTTTCAATTCCTACTTTCTTTCTGCACAGGCATCAAATGTCCCGTGTGCAATAAGTTTGTGTTGCCAGACGATATTGAATGCCATTTAGTTATGTGCCTAACAAAACCAAGACTCTCATATAACGGTATGCGGCAGGAATGTTTACTAGCATTTTTAATGTTCAATTTCAATTAACTTTTGTAGAGGACACATTACTCGACGCCAAGGGCGAGTGCGTTATATGTCTTGAAGACTTGAGTCCAGGAGATACAATTGCTCGATTGCCATGTCTATGCATATACCACAAAGGGTAAGCGAACCAGCGTTCAGCACACATCTAAATATATATGCTGATCAATTGTTTCATCGAATTGCAGCTGCATCGACCGTTGGTTTGAGGTGAATCGCTCCTGTCCTGAGCATCCTGGAGATTAGTAAAAATCTCAATAGGTAATGTCGAAAAAGCAAAATCATATATGTATTAAAATACTACTGATAAGCTGCCATATGCAAAATACAGTATTACTTTTTATTTTATTTTTTAGCTAGAGATAAAAATAAATGTAAATATGTAGATTCCTTTTTATTTGTATGTAAGCCTTTAACGTATTCATATTGATATGTAAATGTGTAGATATTCTATGTAATCAGTATCTCATGCCATTTGACATCGTGTCTCTCTCTATATATATATATATATATATAGATATAGATATGTGTATATGCATAATGCATTGTATTTGTATTATAAAGCTCGTTAAGTCGTTTAACTTCTGAGTGGGCAGTGCGTAGAGCGTGCGCCATAAATCAGACTGAATTCTAGACGACTTCTCAACAAGCATTTGTATGTATATCATTTATATATGTATCTAAGTTTGTAGTGCGGCTATTATGCAGTGTAATGAACCATTTTATATATACTTGCAGGTTAGAAAGCAGAGGCCAACATTGTAGAGAGCATCAATTGTTAGAAGAAAATGTAAAGTAATGCAAATAGAAATCGTAATGGAAAAGGAAATGTAAATGGAAATGGAACTGGAACTGGATGTGAGCGGAGGAAGCAGAGGCTAAGAGAAACGAAATTTGGATCGAGAAATCGATCGTTTTGACCTACCGACCGACAGTTTATGCAAATCCACAAACACACACATACACATACACACACACACGATTGAAACAAATTAATTTGAAATGCTAGCAAAACTAGCAAATGCAACGTCAACAAACAATGGACAAAGGACAAAAGTAAACGAAACCAACCAACCCACAAAAAATAAATACTAAAACACGTATACAAATCAAAGCAAAATAAACACAGGATGTTAAGGATGTAGTGTAAAGTTAATAATGATGATGATAATGATAATGATAATGATAATGATGATGATGATGATGATGATGATGGTGATGATGATGAGAGTAAGTGCATGTAAGCGAAGCAACCAACCAACCAACAAAAGAATGTCAACCAATGTGATGTTAAATTTTATATTTTGTACTATGGATATGATGTAATTGTAATGTAATGTATATGTATGTATGTATTTATTATTTTAAAAAACAAACTAAAATAGGATAAACACAAAACAACAACTATAAAGATCGATAAAAAAAACACACACACAAACACTATAAATAATTATGCTTAAATTAGTAAACAAAAGCAAAGCAACCAAAAAAAAAAAAAAAACAAAAAATGGAAATGGGTTAACCTAACTTTAAAAATTGTTCAACTATGTCATTTTTTATAATTGTTTATAATTTTTATTTGAAATTTGACAAATTTTTTGTGTTTATCCATGTCATAAATTAGTTATTGCTATTTATATTTTTTTTTATATATATATAAATTGTCCACAATTTTTTTCTTTGTTATACTATTATTCTGTTTGTATTGTTTAAGAGAAAACAACAAGAACAAGAACAACACAAATGTAAAATGAGAAAATATTGGAAATATTGAAACACTTCTGTCATGTGAAAATTCTGGTCAAACGAATGCTAAAGGCAATTAAACTATATTTCATGTTTCAAAAACCTCTACTGGCTAATGGAGCTCCTGTCCTAGACAAAGGAACTATCCATAACAGAATGAGAAGAGCAACAACTAAAGCAAATGATCTAGCCGCATTCACAATCCGTAACGTAAATTAGCTTACGAGCTGTGCCGTAAATATATATATATATATGGATATGTATACATATATATGTAAAACAAAACTATTGTATAATTTTGGTTTTTTTTTTCTAAATGTAATTCTTTAATATTATTTTGTTAATATTTTTCTATGTAATAACAAATTAATGGACGACGCCAGCTCGTTAAGTTCTTTTGTAAATTATATATATATATATATATATATATATATATATATATATATATATATATATATATAAATAGATATGTATACATTAATGTACTGTACATATATAAACATTTAATTGTATAACTATAGCGCGTAACCGTAAAAGCAACATTAACATTAACTGACAACAAAAGTTTCCCTAACACGGCAAACACAGAGAACGAAAGGAGAGAAAACCATAAACAAATAGTTGAAAGTGTAAACAATATTTAAACATAGGTGGAATTTTGATTTCTAACTGTACTGTTTGTAAAATACACACCAGCACACACACACTTACACACACACACACTCACACACACACACACACTCACACACACACACACACTCACACACACACACACACTCACACACACACACACACTCACACACACTCACACACACACACACACTCACACACACACACACACTCACACACACACACACACTCACACACACACACACACTCACACACACACACACACTCACACACACACACACACTCACACACACACACACACTCACACACACACTTACACACACACACTTACACACACACAAAGAGATAACAACAAAAATAGTTGTAAGCAAGAAGTTCAATAAAGTTAATGTTAATTTGCAACAAATACCTAATGATTAAAAGTAATATAAATAAAAATATAAATAGAAAGATGATACAAAACATTAATGCAAACAAACAAAACAAGAAGAAGAAAACATAAGAAGCGCATTAGCTGGTAATAAATACGTCTTGATCCTATTAAGAACATTTCAAACTTTTTACACCCTATCCAAGTGAAAACAAATATAAACGTAATTGATAAACGAACGACTACCAAGTAAATGACAGCCGAAGAGAGAGGGAGAGAGTAAAGCAAATTGAGCTAAAGTGGAAAAATTTAGAAAATAAATGAGTGATTATATATAAATACAAACGATATATTCAAGTTGTTGGCGTTTTATTTGTTTCATTGATCTTTTATCTTCTCTTCAGCGAAGCATCAGAAGTAATTGAATGATAGTTCCAATTAGCAGTGTCGACTCTAACGAGTCCAATTGGTCTTGCTCATGAACCGGGTTTCAATTAGAGTTCCCGCGACTTAAGCACGCCTTAAACTTATCGACAGTGCTATCGATAACGTGCAGCGCATTTCCAGGCAAAGTCCTCGACGTTTAAGTGAATTAAAACACATGAAATTATTTCGTATTAATCTTTAATGAAGACCGCATTGATTCACCGCAAAAGAAAAACTATTAAGCAAACAAAATCAGGGCTTTAAATTAACAAATGAATTAACAAATCCAATTGGAGCGCATGGCCCGCGCCTGCTGATGGTTTTAAAATATGCCAAATGAGCTGTAGGATGATAGTTCGATAAAAAAAAGGATAAAAACTAAAATTAAAAAATGGTTGAACTTAAACTTAAATACAAGATATATAATATAAGAATTTTTCTCTCTCTTCTCTCTCTTTGTTTCTCTTTTTTTTGGGAGTGGGAGCTTTAAAGTTATTGTATGCGCGTGTGTGTGTCTGTGTCAGTGTCCGGGTTTGTGTAAATGAATTTAAAATGAATTAAAATTTGAAATTTGAAATTTGAAATGTGCAACGGATGCGCGAACTGTTCCAAGTCCTGTTGAGAGTTGCTTACATTTGGGCGTGTTCCTGCCAGCCCACCAGGTGCTGCGTCCTGCGGCGCTCGGTCGCGCTAAGCCCAGCTGTATGGGTGGCTCGACCGGGTGGGGGCATTGAGCTTTTGAGCCTCGAAAGCAACCGAAACGATGTTGTCTTTGTGTCCTTCATGTTCAATTCATTTGTATATCTGTTTCTTCATTTTTTTTGGTTTTGTTTTCTGTCGTTTTATCAACTATACTCTGTGGGATTGTGGAGAATGGGGGCAGGTCGTCGTGTGGAAGTGGAAGGAACGGGGTGATCGTTGCGCCTGTTGGCAGCAATTAACCCCTGCCTGAATGTATGTGAATATATGTATAGACATATATGATGTGTATATATATGTTATATATAGTTTATATATAAATATACATATACGCATGTATATGGATATATATACATGTATATATATATTTATATATATATAATGTATATATATGTATACATTTGGTAACAGGCATTCCACTTCCGAACATCCCGTCACTGCAGTCGGCCCCCGTTCCATAATTCGTTATTTGCGATTTATATGCCCGTTTGCCATTTGCTGGCAATTTGTGGCCACGTGCGTCGACTTAGACCCATGGCGTCCAGCCCTCGTATAGTACGGCCAGATTGTCCGGATTGGTGGCCTCACGTAACACATAGTCGACCTGTTCAGCAACGGTGGCGCGCTGATTGCTATCTGGATCGCGTCCCTCCAATTTCATGCGTATCTTCTTCCATACAGACACGCCGTATGCATTACGCTTCTGCTCGTGGAGATTGGGTGCAACTGCAAGAGAGAGGACCGAGGGTGAGCATGTGAGGGAGCATATATGATGTCGTATGGCTTACTCTTATTATGCGTAAACGTTTCATATGGCATCGAATCACTTTCGGCTGCATGCTGCAGAAAGTCTTCGATGCCCCTAAAGAACTCATCCACATCGTGCTTGGCCATTTGTTCGATTTGCTGCAGCTGTTGCTGCCAACTGTTGAGTGTATCGTGCTGCAGCACATGTCGTTCGCCGGTCAGATCCTTGCGCAGTTCCACCACACGCTGAAAGAAGTTCAGAAGCGTGCGCTGTGCATCGCGCACATGACCGCAAAGCAGCTGCACATCCAGCGGTATCAATTTGCCTTGTTCCTCCGAGTCGTTGCACAGGCTGCGCGTGTAAATGCGCGGCATCTGTTCCTGGTGGCGCTGCAAGAGCAAATTGTTGCGCTTAGACTCAATTGATGGGCAGACGGCGGTGGTAGTCTTACCTGCATATCCTTGAGCATCGTGTAGATGACTCTGTGCCTGGTCTGCTGGTCCGACTCAAGTATCGACAGCTCTCGCTGCACCTTACACGTGTAATCCTCAAGCAGCCCCTGTACGTTCTTTACCCAGCACTTATCGATGGCGCCCTCGGGATCCAGCAGCTGGACAATTGCCTGCTCCACGGCGCTGATGCGCGCGTTACTCACCTCCCACTGCTGATAGGCTTGCAGCCACTGGTCCATGTTGTCCAGCAGCAGCTTCGCCTGCTGTCCGCCAATTCCTTCCGCCTGCTCGATGTTGCAGAGCGCACTCGCACATGTCTTGAGCTCATTGATCACGTCCAGCTGTTCGGTGGTCAGCTTGTGCTGGAGCTGCTCGTTGCGCAGCAGGCTGTCGATGTGATTGCGATTCCAGTTGCTGCGCTGGCTCTGTAGGTGGTCAAGCTGTGAGGCCAAGCGGCACTTCAGTCGCTCCATAGCCAGCGAGCTGTCCGCCAGCGTCTGCAAATTCTGGCTGATTGCCTCGGACAACTTCTGCCGGCTAATGATGTGGCCACAGTTCAGATCGCTGTCCAGGGCATCTGCGTATGCCCAGTAGTGCGCCGTTGCGATCAGCGTGTGCATTTCGACCAGCTGATTGAGATGCGCGATTTCGCACTGCTGCTGCTGCAGTGTCGCTTCCAATTGCAGCGCGGCAAAGAAGCCTTCGCACAGTTGCAGCACATCCTCCGCACAATCGCCGCCGCCGGCTGCCATCTCCTGGCCGCGTGTGCAGCAATTCGCGTAGTGGGCATGACACAGCAATGGCACCGCGCCCACAATATGCGTCAGCTCCAGGTGCTGCACAAAGCTCTGTATGGGCACACACATCAGTCGCTGATCGCAGCTTCTGCTGGCATCCATCGTCTGCAGCACCAGATCGAAGTAGCACTTCTCGGGCAACGGGTTGCCAGCGTTCTTAACTATGCCCAGCTCCTGCAAGCGATATGGTTCATTAACAAGTTTTCAGGTGCACGAAGACAACTGCTATTCGCTCTGATCTATTGATCTATAGGATTTCATCACGCCATCAACTGTAGTACATCATCTACGTCTTTGCTAAACTTTAATCTATGCTCATAGCTCTGCTCTGACGTCATCTCTGATTCTTCTTTTAAAAATATCACTCAGTATTATTTATTGGCTATTTAATCTTCAGCGTCCATAGAGATAAGTGCTTCAATACTCCGCTGCTGCTATTTCTCTCTCTAGTTCTACTCTTTGTCTGTTTATATATTTATATATAGATATAGAATCTGAAGTATTCAGGCTTTGTCTGTCTTTGTCACTTTCATACCTACCGATCTCTCAGTCGTTCTTCTATCTTTCTCTTTCTCCTACTATCTCTGTTCATGCTTTACCTACTTCCAAGCTTTGCTTTCTCAAATCTTTGCCTTAGTTCACTTACCATGAACTGCTCTGTTGAAGCATCCTCGACATCGTCAATTATCAGTTTAATATTGCGCCCGACCCGCTCCAAGTCCTTGACGAGCTGCTGAAAGAGCTCGTAGCCGGGCTGCAGGCACTGCATGAACTGAATTTCCAAAGCTCGCGGAATGGCCAATTGCTGCAGTGAGTCTAGTTTCGGCTCCAGCTGGTTTTTCAATTGCTCCAGCTGCTCGGATTGCTGCTGCTGCTGCTGCTGCTGCTGCAAGGGCATTGCTCGATGGTAGCGTTCGGCCAAAGTCTTGCTATTTAGCTGCAGCAGTGCCTCGAAATGATGCTGATTGGCTGGCAATAGCAACAGGCGGAACAAGTTGGCGACCAGGTCATGCTCGAAGCTGTGCTGCAGCTGCACGAGAGTGGACAGCGTGTCGTGCAGCTGGCTTAGCTGATCATTGACCTGGTCGACGGGCTCTGTGACGCTCTGGCACATCGTTCGCACCAGCTGAATGTGCTGCACTTGATGTCGGAGCAGTTTTATGTCTTGCTCATCGACGGCCGACTGCTCGTAGTCGCCGAACGCAGCATTGGCCTTGTTCAGGGTGTGCAGGAGCATCGCATTCAGCTGCGACTGGCTACAGCCGCTGCGCTGTATAGCCAATAGCAGGGCGTGCGAGGGCGTCTGCGACTGGGCCAGGGCCTGTTCGTTGGCAAAGTGCTGCGTCAGCTGATGCAGCTGACAGCTGAGATCCATGCGTACTGCTTCCAGAGTCCGGGCGGTGCTCAGCTTTTCGGCCGAATCGGGCTCTGCCGTGGAGCTGTTTCTGCTTCGGTGGCTGATGTTGTTGCTGCTGCTGCTGCTGTTCTCAGCTTTCGTCAAGTAGTTTGCATAGCTGTCGTGGAAGCGCACGAAGATGTTGTTGCGCTTGCAATGCTCCGGATAGTAGGCCATGATGGCCGCATACTGCTGCATGTGCTCCACACACTGCAGGCCCAGATCGTTGAGCCGTTCGAACAGCTCGTCCAGCTGGCTGCGCGTGCTCTCATACGTCTCCAGCGTCTGCGGCGGCAAATGGCACTGCACCAGCTCCACCAAGGCCAAGTACTCATTGTGCGAGCTGCTGCCCTCCAGCTTAAAGTGAATCAGGCGCACATTGAAGCCGCCCAGAAATTGCTGCTCCAGGCACTGGTTGTAGCTAACCAGCAGAGCCTTCACCAGCTCATAGTCTGGCTGGCGCAGATTGGCTTGGCGAGCCAGCGCTTCCATGTGATACAGCTTGGTGGCATAGCGCGGCGAGGCCGAATTGAAGCTGTGACTCTCAATGGCCGTGCCCAAGGAATTGATTTCGGCTATCAGGGCGCTGCGCTGGTTCAGCTTCAGCAGCTCCTGCTCCGAGGCCAGACGCTGCGTCTGCGTCTGCTGCAGTTTTTCAATCTCTCGCATCATGTCCGCTAGCTGAGGCAACATGTCCAGCCTGCAAGAGTCAAAGTGAAAGGAAATTCAAATTTGCAATGGGCCTAAAATGGACTCTAAGAAAGCGCCATGATCTCTCCTTGATAAGCGTCTAGGAAATCGAGTGTTTGGCCTGTCTTAGCAGGCAAGAGGAGCATTAGGGAAAAAAGGCAATAGATGAGGAGAGGACAAACCACGAGGAACTCTCCTTTCATGCCCAACATTTCGTAGACAGAGCTCTACTTGTTGTTAACTCACTTGTACTTGGCCCAAAACTTCTGGCACTGCTTCAGCTTGCCCACATAGTGTCGTCGCTTGGCCTCCCAGTCGTAGAGCTTGTTCTTGCCCTTGTCCTTCTTGTGGAACTTGAGCTCATTGGAGGCGGCGGCACAGCCGGATGGTTTTGCATTGATGGCGCGTCGCATTGCCGTTGCATCGTCATTAACTGTCCAATCGACCAACGGATCGTAGACGAACGCCTCGAGCAGGGTGAGCAGAGTTTCGCGCTCCTTACGCATCACCTTCAACACATACTCGCAGCCCAGACGGTAGGCGCCCTGGAAAGCCAGCAGAAGACATGGATTATCAAATATGCTATGGCACGATCATAAATCGATACGATTCACAGATCGACTCGTAAATAAAGCCACACAAATCGCGTTTATCTAACAAACAAACAAATTGCAGGCATCGTAAACCAACACAACATTTTTATATGGACTGTTACAACAACTGATTATACGATATACCATATATACCCCTATTCAGTTATACAGATATATATGAATAAATTAAACATGTGTATATAAGATATGAGAAATGCTGATTGCAACATTTGTATGGTTTTAACTTTGAAATTGTGCGTAATTTGTGGCTTGTTCTATGGCGCATCATAAATAGTTTATCTGATTATTGCTCATACGACGCGTTAGCCAAGCACATTTTCTCATGGCCTTAACTCTAGAAACTGTTTGTTTAGAAGGCTGCCAAATCGCTGGCAGCAGCCGTTGTTTGTTTTCGGTTTGTTATTGATCTGCCAGTCGATTTACAAGCTACTTAATGCAGCTGGTAAATATTTAGCAGCCGGCACAAGTAAATTTTGCTGTTCGACTTTGCTGCTACGGCAAAAACATGAGAATAAATACATATTTATTGAGTGATTAAGTGATGCATTCATTCGTTCAATCATTCATTCATTCGGCCCGCTAACATGAACTTTAACATGCGCCTAGCGTAAAGTATGCTAAAAAAAAAATGTAGCTAAATAAATAAGCCGCTTTATCAATCACTTGATACATTAATAGATGTAAGCTCTGCGGCTCACCTAGGGTTAATTTGCGAAGTGCTAAAAATACGTAAACGCACACGAATGCCTCCTCTGTATTGATATCGATGGAAATGTGTCAGCCAGCAGATAGCTAATAATCATGTAGCCCCCCACACACGCCTAATGTGGCCAGTCGCAGCGACTGTGCCGCATGCCCTACGCGGCGATAGTGGCAATCGGCTTTTGGTGTAGGGCAGCTGAAAATGTGGTCGAGCTGTGCTAACGGATTGCGTTTCTCACGCTGGATCAGGTCGCGTTATCAGTTGGCGCTGTGGATAATAGCGAACCGAAACGTAAACAAACGACGCCCACGAATTGCAGTGGCTAAACGGCAAAGTCCTTGCCCCATGTGGTGCGGCCGGCTGGCAGATTGTTAAAAACTGGCGCTCAGTTCGTTTCGTGGCCGCGCTTCATGTTGGCAGCTCTGATTTTTGACAGCTGCTCACGATAATTGTGTGTGTGTGTGTGTGTGCAGAGATTCCCGAATCGTCGTGTGGGTCGAGTGTGGGTGTCATGGAGAGTCCGGAGTACGGTTGGTTCAACCACAGCAACGGCAATGGCATTTCGCCCAGAACAAATGGCGCCAACGAGCTAAAGGATAACCTAATGGATATCACAACTGCTGCGACCGTTGGACAGCAGCGAATTAGCGCTGGCCTCCTGCTCTGGCTGATCATCAATGCGATCATCTTTGTCTTTATACTGGCCGGCAATGCGCTCACAATCGTCGCTGTGCGCACCTGTCGCAATCTGCGCTCGGTGATATCGAATCTGTTCATCTTATCATTGGCCATATCCGATTTCATTGTGGGCGTCGCTCTGCCCTATCATGTCGTCTTCTACATGGGCAGCGGCCTCGATCTGGGCCGTCTGCGCGGCTTCTGTTTGTTTCGCTTCTTTCTGTTCATCTGCGCCTGCTGCGTCTCCATACTGACGCTCATCTCGATTGCCGTGGACCGCTATATAGCGGTCATCTACGCTTTGCACTATAGACGGTAAGTCATTGGGTAAACAAACGTAGTAAGTCCTAAGACCTGCCCATCTAACTGTCTGATCCACAGCAGTGTTCCGACCTAGCAAATAGTCGTCCTATGTCAATCAGCCATTTTCCTCCTTAGTTAGAACTCAGCCTAGACCAAGGACACTAAATTTGGTATAGACAGAGCACGATTAGTTTCCATTCGTAAACATATTCGATATTTCAATGTCACATACTATGGACTTAGCCATAAACACCGTCGTGTTTACCTTGTAAAGCTTCACAGTTTAAGTGGGTATCTCAGTGGGTCTTCGTTATGTTGGCTGTATATAATATCTGGTTAATGGCAGCTGCTATCGGCTAACTAATACTAATTACACGTTATTTCTTGGTCGATTGCATTACAATCGCTAATATCAGAATCTTATCTTTATAACGTGCTTTGGGTTTTTCTGCTTAAGGTCAATGTCTACAATGAATAAAAGAGTACATAGCACTTGCATAATCATGGTGATGATGGATAGGCTATACGATACTTGTTTCCTCTTCCGATGCTCCCTTGCTTGGGCTCACATCTAATCGAAATCTTATTCAATTATGCCAGCTACATGACGCGCCGCGTTGCCTACATGATCATCACGCTGAACTGGTGTGTGGGCGCTCTGGTGGCGATGATACCCATATTCTGGAACAAGTGGTCCGCGGCGCAGGGCTGTGAATTCGATGAGGTGCTGCTGCCATGGTATGTGGCCGGGGTTATAACGCCCGGATTCGTTATCATCTGGATATGCATGCTCGTCTTCTACTGGCGCATAATGCGCGAGGCGTCGAAACAGGCGCAGCGATTGCGCCAATCTGTGGTCTACAATACGCACAGCAGCCACAGCATGCTGCATCCGGACTGGAAGAGCGTACAGATTGTGGTCTTCATCATGGGCTGCTTTACGATCTGCTGGCTGCCCTACTTCTCTGTGGCGATTGCCCAGCTCTTTCGCATGTGCCGCAGCAACTCGATGATCTACAAGATAGCCTTCTCGCTGGCCATGGCCAACTCGGCGCTCAATCCCATCATCTACTCATGGAAGAATGCCGGCTTCCGGCGCGCGTTCGCCCAGACGCTCTGCTGCAAGTCCGCCAGCTGCTGTCGCATCGATGCCGATCTGGAGCTGCATTTGCCCTCGGACAGCGTCAAGCAGCGCATCGATAGCAACAGCAGCAACGGCTACGCAGCCAACGCGGAAACGAAGCCCAACGAAAAACTCTCAACTCAATGCCAGGTCGCTCAATAAATACAAAATAGATCAGAAAAGCTTTACTGAACGTGGCACATCGCACGGGATATACAAATTTGAGAATTCAAAAGTGAATCGGGTCAAATGTTCCACAAATTCAGTTTGTAACGCTAAACGGAGCGAAATACAAAACATTGGCAATAGAGAATTAGGGCCATGATTAAGGATCTAGCCTTAAGGAAACCCAAGAAGAGTGCGTGCCTGAAGCACCAACTGTGAATTGATGAGAAACTGCAAATTACATTGGAATAGATCTAAAGTTTTCCTAAGCAATGGGCAGCTATATAAAACTGAATTTGAACTCTCAATTCGAGTAAAACTTTTGAAACTCCCAGCGAGAGTTGAATATTCTATAAAACTAAAGCTGAGCATTTTATGAGAAGTTCTTCAATCTGCGAGAAAGCAAGCGGAAATAGAACTTGAAAACTTTACTCAAGGCTTAGGCTATTTCCAGAAATCCCTTAAAAGGAAGTCAGCTTAGGAAATATTTGAAATATTTAGATCAGAAGACAAAGGTAAATAACTAGTTGAGCTACAAAGATCTAAGAAACTTAAGGCCCTAAGAAACTAGAGCTATAAGGAGCTAAGACGCTTAAGAGCTAAGAGAATATAGAATACAGCTGAATGCATGAGATACAGATGAACTCTTAAGGATCTCAAACTTAGCATCGATGCTCTAGAGGCAGGGTTAAAGACATTTACGTTCTATGTGCGCTTACCTCGATGCCAGTAATGCCCAAGGCGTGTACCATATTCTGGGTTAGGCGGAAGGGCACACGCTCGGGTATGCGCAGCGTGCGACCTTTCTCAAAGCAGACATTGTAATCGATGTGGACGATATCGCCGCTGCTCAGGTTGATTAACACATTGTCCAAATGGCGATCGCCCAGGCCAATCACGTAGCCAATCACTGACATGACGGCCATGCAGCTGGTATAGCGACGCACCGATTGGCGCCACTCGGCGGCGCTGCCCGCATGGCACCACAGCTCGCGGGCCAGCAGATCCGATGGCGTCTCCTGCTGCAGTTCGCTGAGCACCTGTCGCAGCGCGGACAATGGCCACTGGCGACGCGGATCCGTGACGAGCATATTGTGCTTGGCCAGCAACGGCGATAGCTTGTTGTAGTACAGATCGGTGAGGCGGCGCGATGTGGCAGCTGTTGCCGGCTGCGGCTGTCGCTGCTGCCATTTCTTGTATAGGGCAAACAGCGGCGTCACCCCATCCACCCAGCTGATCAGGCCCGATTGGGGGCCCAGCGGTATCACCGAGTAGTGATGGGCGCGATAGCAGCTGTGCGGCGTATCATTCTTGCTGGCCATGATCGCATTCGATATGGACAGAAACTGCATAATGCGCTCATCCAGATGCAGATCCTCCAGGCCCTTGAAGAGGAACGTATACTTCTGCCCATTGCTGCCATAGAAGGCAACCTTCTTGGGCTTCGTCTTGGTGGGCAGAATGCAGACGGCACTCTCCACGCTCTCAATGTGCACCGGCTGCAGCTCGTCGTGCGCGTCCAGGCCGGGCATCGATATGCGCATGCGTCCAATCTCGCACAGCACTGGACTGATCGTCTGCATTTTGAGGGTGTTGCTTGTGCCACGCAGCATATTTGATTGGAGCACATGATAGAGTTGCTTCAGCTTGTCCCATGCCTCCGGATACGGTCGATTGCGCAGCGCCTCCAATGTGCTGGCAATAGGCGCATCGAAACGCCGCTTAAAGCTGCGCTCATAGCTGGTCTCCGCCTCGCGTTCAGTGAACGCCAACAGCGCCTCCATGTCGTTGAGCAACTGTGGCCGCCAGCTATTGAAGCGATTCTGTTTGCCCTCATGATCGTCTGGCTTGAATTCGCTGGCCAGGCCATTGATGCGGCCCACGTAGCTGTTGTAGATGTGGGCCAGCGAGTGTATCCAGTATTCATCCCAGAGCAGGCAGACGCGTCGCAGCTCCTTGACCAGCAGCTGGACGTGCTGCACCACCTCGGGCGATTGCTTGGTCAGGGCACTGAGCAGTATGGCATAGCTCTTGCTGCCCGTTCCCTTGCTCGGGCTGCTATTGTTGATGGGCGTGGCCTGCAGCTCACGATTGGCGCCGACAACAGCGGGAAAGGTGACCAGCTGTGGCCGACTCTCCGCCAGGCGGCAGAGCAGCGCACAAACGCTCTTCCTCACATACGGCTCATGATGATTGAGCCGACTGAAGAGCTGCGGTATAATGACCTTCCATGGCCCGATGGGCGTCGTCTTCAGGCCCTGCTCAAGCACATCCTGCAATCCGGTCGCGTGCTTCACAATTAAACGCAGCAAACGCAGCGTTGTCGTCACCATATTGCTATCGTCGACATGGAAGCGTGGCTGCAGCGGCTGCACCACGCTGTCCTGGCCGGAGCCCGCCTTCAAGCTGAGATAATGGAAGTAGCAGCGTGCCGCTTCCTTGTAGTAGTCAAAGGTGTTGGCGATGGCCCGACGCCAGATGCGCACAATCGACTCCAGCACGCTGGCTGGCTTATTGGCCAGGACGCTAAGCCGTCGCAGTCGCAGCTCGCACTGTGCATCTGTTTGGAGCTCATCCTCTTCGCAATTGTTGCCCGGCTGCGGCTCCATGCGCAGCGCCTGCAACAGCTCCTGCAGCGTCTCGCCATCCAAAGGCAGCTGGCCGCCGAGCGCCTCGCCAATGGCGCACACATCCACCTGGCTGAGCACGGTGCCGCTGTCGACGATCTTCTTGCCCCAACGATAGCACCAATTGCCGTAAGCAATAAGCGCCTCCTCGTTGTTCGGTCGCTGCTGCAAGCTGGCGTTGATCAGGCGCGCCACCAATCGTTCGCCATGCGGCAGCGTCGTCGGCTGTGCCGTGCAGCGCGTCAATGGACACTCTGGCAGTTGCTCCAGCAGCTGTTGCATGTGTGCAGACATGTTGGTAGTCAGGCCATTGCAGCTGCGCGCCGATATCCAATCCGAGAGCGTCAGCAACAGCTCGGCTCCAACATTGGTAGCCAGTTCCGGCTGAAGCGGTTGCTTTTGTATAGCCAAGCAAAGTGTTGTGCACACATTGATGGCGGTCAGTTCATTGCACAGGAACTGCTGCTGCTGCTGCTGTTGCTGTTGCTGCTGTTGCTGGAGATGCAGGCATTTGGCCAGCTCGGTATAGCCACGCAGCAATTGCGCATTGTTCGTATCGAGTGACTTGGTGAGCAGCTGGCCAGCAACCTCCGTCAGAGACTGGCCAAAGAACAGCTCCAGCATGGCCTGGCAGGTTGACTGATTGCCCTCCTCGCGTGCCACCATTGCCGTGTCCAGATACAGATTGCTCAGGTTGCCGACGTTGCACTGATTGAGCAGCAGCTGCGTCCAGGCCACGCAGCGCAAGAACAAGCAGCTGCTCAAGCTGCCAATATTGTGCTGGTGATGATGGTGCTGGTGGTGAAGCTGTTGCTGCTGCTGCTCCTCTTTGCCATTGTTGTCGATTGGCAGCAGCAGCAAGAGCTGCCCGTGGTGCTGGCTGCCGTTAAGTTTCTGGGTTATGTACTTGAGCAGCGTGAGTTGCTGCCAGTGCTGCTGGTCACAGCTGTAGTTGAGCAGGCATTCGCGCCAGTTCATGTCCAGCAGCTGCTGCACTGGTCGGCTCAGCTCGAAGGGCTTGTGCTCGTCCCGGGACTGATAGTGCTGCAGCACAATGTTCTCCAGTTTCTCTAGCACATAGCCGGCGGAGAAGCTGGCATGTGGCTCGGTGCCGCTGGGCCAAAGGCTCAGCTTGTGCAGCGCTGCGTTTAGCTCATCCGATGTGGCCTCGCTTTTGGCCAACAGCTGCTCCAGCACACTGAGCTGTGTTATGCTATTCTGCAGGAAAGGATTTAGTTGGATATGCTCGCCGGCGCGCTTAAACTGCGCTTTCAGCTCCACAATCTGCGTCCACTGCCCAGTGCTGTGCAGGCATTCGAACAGCTGCGCCTGCACAAATTGACGCGTATGCGTCTCCAACTCCGACTGCGGCTCCTCGGCCAGCACGAGTCTGTAGCCGGCCAGAGCCAGTTCTTTGCGTCCGGCTGCCTGCTCTGCTGCATGCTGCAGCCACTTGTAGCATTTATTGCTCTTCGAGCGCGCCCACACGTACAGGCCGCGCAACGAATCCGATTCCTGGCAGTTGATGAAAGCCCAAGCCAAATAGACAATCGCCTGGCTGTAAGTGCTATCCTGCGTCTTTTGTGTGAGTAGGATTTGCTTTGAATCGAGACGGAAACCAGTTAATTTCAAGACTATTTCACAAGAGCACTTAACCTACCTGCGCATAACGTATGACCAGCTCCGGCTGCTGGCTGTGCATCGCGATGATAACTACGCCGGTGCGTATGCGATTGAACCACGACTGGCATGTGGGATTGTTGAGTCGAAAGAAGGCGCTGACCGGCTTCTCGGGTGCGCGCAGTGCAAACGCGCTGCCCTCGGCCGCATTGTAGATCAGCTTCTCCAGCGCATCCAAGAAGCCAAGCAGCATGCCTAAATTGGCACGCGTATTGGACAGCTGTTGGAGCGACAGCTCGTCGAATGCTCGTCGTTCGCAGTCCTTGGCACAGCCGCTTAGAAGACGTGCATAGCGCGTCACAATGGCCTCGAAGGCCAGAAACGTGTCCTGCGGCTTGCCCAGCGTGGTGCGTAGCTTCTGGTCGACACAATAGCGCGCCGCCTCGAACTGCAGCCAGGCGGTGGCCAGGCGCTGGCAACGGCGCGTGCACTGCGACAACTTCTCCTGCCGTTCATCCAGCTGCGTCACCTGGCAACTGCGCATAAACATCATCCGCAAGCACTCGCCAAACGGCGGCCGTTCAGGCGACTGCAGACGTTCGAAAAAGTCACGAAAGACATTTTCGCGCATGGCGCTGCACTGGCTAAGACGCTGCTGCCAGACGCAAATGTGGCTGCTGCCAATGCCAGAGGTGACGCGTCTTGAGATGGTCAAACTGAGCGGCAACTGGGCATAAATCTGGGCGTACGCCTCATGGCAGCTGGTGAAGAGCGATTGCAGCTGCTGCAGCGCCGTCTCGCGATACAATTGCAACAGCTCAAGGCTCAGATTCGAGCTGCCATAGCCGAGCACAGCCTGAATGCAAAGAGCACTCTCCATCGGCGCAAATTTGGCCGCTGTGTTGGCAACGCTCTCGCAAATGGTAATGAAGTCCGCATGCTGCAGCAATGTGGCGGAGAGTGAGCTACACTCTATCAGTAAAGATCTCGTCCAGAGGAGCAGCTGTTTCAGATTAACTGGCGCCAGCTGTGCGCCCTGCTCCAAGCAGTGTGCCAAAAACTTGAGTATGTGCCCGAAACTGTGCGCCGTCGGCGATTGACTGTTGCCCGAGTGCATCTTGTCGATGTCGCTATCGCGCAGCAGCATCGAATTGTTGCGAAAATTGTGATTGGCCTGACAGTGCACCACAAGGAGGCCGAGTATGGCATGATGGGTGGTTGGATACTTCGACCACATGCTAAGCTCACCGGCACGGCAATTGGTTATCAGGAACTCCAGTATGGATGGCTTGCAGGCATACATGCCAATGATTGAGGACGTTTGCTTGGCCAATGCCGCCAATGCGGCCAAATGAAAGATGAGCAAAATGTTCGCTTCGCTGCAATCGGATTCGGCCTGCGCGAGTTGTACTATGCATTGGTCAACGTCCTGCACGAGCTGCTTGTACGCCTGCTGTAATATGGGCACATTCTTAATCAGCAACGTCTCCTGGCAGGTGCGCAACAGCAGCTTGTGTTCTTTCGTGTCGTTCTGCAGTCTTATGCTTGCCAAATATGTCTGATTTGCGGCAGCATCAGCTGCAGGCTCCGACTGAAAGATTAGTTGGACCAGGCTGGCGGGCAAGCGAGCGCGCAGCTTCCGCACCGAGCACAACAACAAGTACAGGCAACTCAACTGTTGAGGCTGTGGCAACTGAGATATATGCTCGAACTGCATATGGAGTAGCCTATCGAGAGTCGTGGCATCCGGATGGGCATAGCCATTGAGCAAGCAAATGCAGAACAGCTCGTTAATATTCATCAGAGCATCGTCGCCAACGTCCTGCAGGTTCTCCAGCATGGCGGGCAGCACTTTGGTCAGATGCATCAGAGCTAGCGCAACAATCGATTCGCACGTAATGTGCATGCGGGTCAGGCATTTGAGCAGCGTGTTAAAGGCGCCAACGAAGGCGCCAATCCGTTCGCCCGGTCGCTCCGACTTGTCCGATATATCCTCAATGAACTGAGTTAACAGTCCATAGCTAAAGTCCAATTGTTTGCTAAAATACGGCGTCAGCTGCTCCAGCACATAGGCGCAATGTGTCTTCACTTCCTTGGGCTGGCCAATCTCCAGCTGCCAGCCAATGATGATGTCCACCACATCGGTGAAGTGGCACTCAAAAGCATCGCGATAATTGTGCGAGAATTGCACAATGCACGTGCTTATGCCCATAAAGATGTCGGGGCTCTCGGCTCCCTCCAGGAAGTCCTTCAGCATGACCATTATCTTCTCCGAAAAGATGTGCAGATCGCATTTGGTGTCGCAACTGAAATAGAGTGGGCATACGGATTACACTTCAAGGGCACATCGAATGACACTCACCTGAGCGTCGTCTGTAGAGCTACAATTAAATATTTCTGCATGCGCTTATGCATTCTAAAGTTCTTCACAATGAAATCCTCGTAGGTGGGATATGACATGCGATTAACATAGCCGATCAGTCCCAGAGTTTTACTGCACTCATCCAGCACCAGGGGCGAGCATTGCTTAAACAGCGACAGCATCCCGTCCAAAATAACATCAAAAGATCGAGTCAAGTACCCAACATTGATTGGAGTTCGTACGGCCATATCCAATTTGCTGCAAAGTTCGAGAGCGGCTGCTGGGCTCGATTCATTGTGCAGGCGCCGCATGATCTTCGACATGCGCAGGTCATCGCTGCCCATTTTAGCTTCTCCTCGATCGTTCGATGTGAATTGCACTGAGAATATGAGAAGTAAATGAAAACAGGAGTCTATATACAAATGTACACATATGCAGCTGGGTGAGCGGATGATCACTTACTCTTGCATTGATGCACTTTACGCGAAATGCCCTTTGTCATATCATTGTTTATATTACGCAGCACTGGATTAGCGTTGGTTGACGACGCTTGCATATCGTGTGCTTGTGGCCACAAAGTATTTTCATTTGTATTATTAATAATTTCTCTGTTGTTGTTATTAGTATTAGTATTGGTATTAGTATTAGTATTGGTATTAGTATTAGTATTGGTATTTGTATTAGTATTGGTATTAGTATTGGTATTAGTATTAGTATTAGTATTAGTATTAGTATTAGTATTAGTATTATTATTAGTATTAGTATTAGTATTATTATTAGTATTAGTATTACTACTAGTATTAGTATTAGTGTTAGTATTATTATTACTATTATTACTATTATTACTATTATTATTATTATTATTATTATTGGTGTTGTTGTTATTGTGGCTGTTGCTCCCAAAGTGTTTGTTGCCGCTCTTTTTGCTGTTCTTGTGGCCAGAAACATCGGCTAATATCGATGCATCCTCGTTGGCATTGTTGCAATTGCCCAGCGGTAAAACGGCGCTTTTCATTGAAAGACCACCACGACTGGTGATCATATATGTATATTAAGTTTGCGCCACCGAATTGTTTTTGTTGTTTTGGCTTTCACGTTCAGTTCATAGAGATGTCAATAAATGACAAGCAGTGTGCCCACACTCCTCGATATAACTTAAACGATGTTTTATAAACAACTATCGATTAATATTCTAATCGATAGTGCAGCTAGTGCATAGACAGCAATGCGTATGCAAATATCGCGGTTTTTTTTTTAAATTTGCGAACATTTCTTATGAGCCTGACTTAAGCAAATAAAGTTTGCATGTGTCTTACATCTATATTTAAGTGTTTTATTAATTTAATATTAAATACATTATTACAATACATAGTTTTTAATATATGAGCAATATATGCATTATCAATTTTTCATTTTACCAATTAAATGTTGTGTATAGGCTGCCACAAGGTTTGCCATCTCCGCATACACTTGATAAGGATGACTGGGCAATGATAAGGATTGGCAGTTTGTCCAGTGGGTTTCTAACGATGGGGCAGGCTGAAGATCCAGAGCCTCCACCGGTGGTGGAAGTGGCTGCTCGCGCTCGACCAGCGAAAGACAAATGTCGCCGACCTGCAATTGCTGGCACTTTAGCTCGTAAAGTTCAAAGGATAATTGCGGGTTGCATGATGCCCAGCCCTGGCCATAGACAAATAACGGATGAGGCGCGGACACCTCCATATTGACCTGAAATGGAGCATAGACAATGAAATGAAATCCACCACAAATCGAACTGCAAAAGGGGGGCCAACAAAAAGCGTGCCCACCTTCAAATGCTGCATATCATAGCTAAATGTAATGTTGTTCATTTGCATTGAGGTCCTGTCTATTTTGACTACCGTCGCCTCCTTGAGGTCAAATTGCTGACTACGCAATGCCGACTGAATGAAATCCTCGGTGCGTATGTCCTCCACGCGACGCAACACGCCCGTCGATAGCTCGATGTATGTGCCTCTTTTGAAGCAGGCGCTCGACTCAAGATCTTGAGGGCTGCAATTGATTTGAATCGTGATTATTTCAATAAACATTCGGTAATGTTTTGTCAGTGGTGGGCGAACATTTTGTATGGATGCTGCATGGTTTCCTCCTTTGGTACGTCCAGCTCGCTGCACTTGCAATTGAAGACTGTGCCGTTTGCTCTCTCTCTATGCGATTCATTCAATTGAATGTGTGGCTTTCCATGGGCTTTCCAGGAATGTCACCCACTCGTAGACCGTCGCCCACGCACTTCATTTGTGTTTACCTGCACATCGTGTCAGGTAGATCAGGCACCGCCCGAGGTGCTCTACCTAGGTTTCTACATAACAGCCATTGTGTTGCCGCTTTGGCTGTTGCGCCAGGCGCCTTGCACCGGACACCCTACAAATACACAAAACGGCAAGCGAATGCAATTGCTCTTTAACTGGCATACATACTTGTATACACATTTTTTATTTGATTTTGCGTTTTCGTTTTGACGTTGAGGATTTGATTTGAGTGACACGCCGACGTTTGCCAAAGCTCGGCGGCCACTGGAAGTCCATGGCGTAGAGATAGTAACGTACATAGAAATAGCTCACGCCCAACGCACAATACACAGAGGTAAGCAGCAGCGGCATGAACGGCAGCAACAAATGTAGGTCCAATAGCCGACTGATTATATGCTCATAGATTGGAATGGCTATGAAGCCCAGGAAGTAGATCCACTCGAGCATATGGAAGCTCGGCTTGCTCTTGTACACGCGCTCCAGCTGGCCATACATCATGGCCACGTAGGACATGTACAGCGAGTAGCGCGGCACAAGCAAATCGACCTCGAACAGCAACGGAAACAGCGAATAGTAGCCAGCGATGCCCAAGAAGTATGCGAATCTAGCATCTCGATGATCCAGCACGCTCAGCAAGCTGTGTATTAGATAATGATTTAACTGGGAGTCAAACCAACTTAGAGACTTCATCACTCACCACAATGGCAGAAGGCACATGAGTATGGCCTTCTCGTGCACGTGCCAGCCAAACATAAAGGAGGAGCAGGCGCAGAGGACAATGGAACGCATGAACACCAGCTTGGCTTGCCTGGTAATTGTGAGTCAGGATTAGATGTTGCAGTAGAGACAGTTGACAGTTCCTTACTCTCTGGATGGCGTGAGGTAGAGCTTCAGCAGAATGGGCAGCATAAATAGGGCAGTGAGTGCGAAAGTAATGGAGGGTGTTATCGTAGGCAGCACTACGTGTTGCACCTCCTGCACCAGCCCTGAGGTAGTCGAGGGAGCATCAGCATCGCGACTTCTTTTCAAGACGCTGGCAGCCAACTTATCGGCGGTATTGTAGAGTGCCCAAATGTTGGGCGCCCAGTAGGCGTGTGTTAGTCCACGCTTGAAGGGAAACAGGCGCGACATCAACTGCGGTAACTGTTGCCAGAAGGGACCAAAGGACAGCACAAATGGTGTCAGTCCTGCAGCGAGCAGCTTAGCCGTATTCTGCACAAACTTCCCCTCGCCCAAGCAATAAAACTTGAGCAGATAGACAGCAAAGGCGGGCGCCATATAAAGGAATATATGCTTGAAGTTCAGCAGCACGGCAAAGCCAAACGCGCTCCACAAGTACCGCTGCTTAAGCAGCGCAGCTATGCTCAGGAACAGTATGCCAAATAGGAATCCATTGTATTGGAAGTGAATGTGATCCACAAAAATGAGTCCCACATTCAAGAAGAGCAGCATGCAGCCAGCAATGTGCTTCTGTGTGGATTGTACGACTCCAAGGGCGGTCATACAACGGTGTGCGCCTAGCACATAGATCAGATCCATGACAATAATTGAAATGCGCTGGAAATAAACCGTTTTTTCGGAGGCATAGTTTAAGTTCTGTACAATAAGCATTTGGGGATCAACATATTTGGCCACTTGTGAGAGCAGCCATTCAAAGTAGGCGAAAAAAGGCGGATAGTCAAGGGTCCATTCACTCGTTGCATCCAAATACCACCGGTTCAATGGCAAACTGTGCGTTATAGCCAACCAATTGCGATGTACTTCAAAATCTGTTGAATAGCTGCAAAGAAAATTAATTGAATTGATTAGCTCGTAGTACACCATTTACCGGCCGGCGACTGTTTATTGAACATATAACTCACTAGGCGGGCAATAGTAACACTTTAAGCGCACTGCTTATGCCCACCAGTTCCCAAAAGTATCCACTCATATTGTTGTTATTGACGCTACCATCAGCTGACGAAACATTTGAAAAGCTTTTATTTTTTAGTTTTTTAACAATACGCACGTTAACGTTGTTAGTGATGGTATTCTATTTTTTTAAATATCGACTGTTTATCTGCCTATCGATACTTAGTATCTTTATGTTTTCGGTATTTTTAGGCGCAATTTTAAAGACCAAATTTGTAACGTTTTGTTTATTTCGTGCTCTCGGCACGTGCAGTCCTCTTCAATAATGGGAGACATTGGTGAAGCTTTGTTTGTCAGCACACTTAACAATGAAAGAGCATCTTGCTGCGTACAAGACTTGCGCACCGGAACCGATCTGATGCGTTACAAAGGCGGCGGCACAATGCAGCCCAACAGCCTCCAAATGCTTGAAGAACACTTTGTGATTGCAGCCAACAGCACAAAGCCTTTGTTGCATGTGTGGCCCATCAATGGGCAGGAGCAGGTGACCAGCATACGTTATGTAGTACCAGGCAAGGTGAATGCATTGGCCTTAACGCCAGACAGTGCCTATCTGATCGCTGCCATACAGGAAACCATCTACGTATGGCACCTCAATTCTGGTCGCCTGCTCAATACGCTCTCCAAGCATTATCAGCCCATTAATTGCATTCGCTTTACGGACAGCGGCGAGCATTTTGCCACCGGCGGCAAGGATGGTGCCGTGCTTGTGTGGAATCTAACACGTGCTGTTGCTCCCTTCGGTAGCGGCGACAGCGAGGAGAATGCTCCACTCTATAATTTCAATGATCATGGATTGGCGGTCACCGATGTGCACATTGGACTTGGTGGCATTCGCGCCTTCATGTACACTGTCTCCATGGATCGCTGCTGCAAGGTCTATGATCTGAGCGATGGCACAATGCTATTGAGCGTCGTCTTCCCCGTCTCCCTGCACAGTGTGATTGTCAACAGGCTTGAGACGAGCGTCTACGTGGGCACCAGTGAAGGTCAGGTGCTTGTTTTTCACATGGATAAAGTGCCTCGTATGAAGGTGAATACTAATCATATTGAATGTTGTTCCTTCTGAATTTTCTATCCACTTGTCTGTCATCCACAGGAATACCATCTAGAGGAGGAGGAAAGCCAGGCATTTGTCGGCCACACAACTGGCACAGCTGTAACTTGCTTGGCTCTGGCTGTGAATGGTCAACAGCTGATCTCTGGTGGCGAGGACAAAAGGGTGTGCATCTGGGATGTGGCCAGCCGACAGCTGGTGAAGAGTATATTGCAGCCTGGCGCCATTACCAATTTATATTTGCGCCTCATAAGCACGTCCCGATTTCATCCGGGTCCCAAGGAGCAAAAATCGTTTGCCGACAATCTGAAGCGTATGATCAGTCCCGATGATGATGATGATTGCATCGAGTTGCTTATCACAGAAGAGTATGCAAACGCACCAAGGTTCCCAGAGCCAAACTTTGACAACAGCTACGATGGCAGCGCAGGGATCTCTGTCAGCCTTCCAGATGATTACGAAGATGTAACGATGAGCGACCCAGAAAATGATTCAGCTGATATAGATGACCAAACGTCAGAAACTGATTCCAGTTCTTTCCAAGCGGATGTCAAGAAATTACGTGCGGCAAATGCACGACTCAAACTGGAGGCGAAGCGCCTCATGAACTTAAATATAGATCAGATTGTTAACAATGTCCAAGGTGCCAAATCGTCAAAGAAAAACAAAAAACTTCGCAAGAAATAAATTCATAAGATTTCAATTAACAATTGTTTTTTTTTTTTTTTTGTATAAACAATAAATGTTTTGTAGAAACAAATTGCTATTGCTAGCAAAGAAACAAAATTATGAATTCAATTGATATTGGCGCTGGGTAGACTTGCATTACCCGGCTGTCCCTCCATGTCATCATCTTTGTCTTCATCATCCTCGCTTTGCTCCTCAGAAGCACTGTCTTTTTCCTGCGCTAACTGACGTCGTATTTCTCGATTCGAGTCGAGGAGCTCACGCAACTGCGACAAGATGTCGTCGGTGCGTTGCTCCACGGCGTCCAAGGCACAACTTAGAGCGTCCAGGCTCTGGTTGACATCCTCCATCTCTGTAAAGCGCAATAGCATTTGGCCAACACAAATAACATGTACGAGTGTTTAAATATATTATTTATATGTATATTACCTTGTAGATCGGCCTCCTGGACATTTGTGTTGCCCGACTCGCCGGAGGACGTCGGATCGTGATTGTTTCTCGGAGCCATCGTTGTTATTGCTGCTAAAACAAGGCGTCAGCTGACTTTTGCTTAATTGAACTACCAACCATGGGCGTACGCATTACTACGACAAAAGGGGATCAGTTTTGTTTCATTTGCTTACAATTTAAAACAATCTTTGGAACAATTTTACCGAAATAATTAATTTTTTCTAGCTTTCTAAAATAAAATATAAGTTAACAAAGCGTTAGCTAACGCCTGCCTAACGTTGACTACACCCATGCCCATGGCGATGGCTTCTATTTCGATCACTTATCGATTAATTTTTCGAATTCAAGCAGCTGATAGCTTGCAAGTGCAACACTTAAGTTGACATTTGACAGCACTGAAGTCAGTCAGCCGGCTATAATAACAATAAGAAACACACGTATTCTGGTGGCTGTTGCATAAAATTCATTTTGAACACTTTTACCTGCTACAAGTAAGTCATTGCGGCATAAAAACACATGTGCCTTTTGTCATTGAATGGCTTGTATTTATGGTTGCAGCACACGTACCATTTGCCACTCCACAATGAACAGCAAACAATCAATTGCGCTGTTTGCTTTTGGTGTACGTGCTCAGCCAAATGGACAGGCCTAAGATAATATTGATAATTAAATACGCCATAATAATGCACGCCTATAATTAAAAGATCCATTATGTATGCATGCTAAAGTATATTTTTGCTTTTTTTTTTTTTTTTATTTAAAAGTTTTAAATTACAAAAAAATTTGTATCACAATTAGTATTATTTTATTTTGTCCATTACATTTTAAATAGTATAATTGCTGTTGTTGTTGATGTTGCCCAATTTTTGCTTGTTGGTTGGTTATGTTACATGCCACATTTGTATTTCGTGCTCAATGCACACGATTCGGAGTGCCTACAAAAGACAAATAGACGAGACTTAGGCTAAGGGCGGATGTGCATGCATGCGCCTCTCGCTATGGCCACTTACGTCGTCGACAGTGATAGCCCGTCTGGCACTTGCACTCCTTGTTGCCCCTGCAGCTGCCATTGCTGCATTTGCATGTGGAACGCTGTTTCCGTCCAATTTCGCAGTGATTGCCGCGCAAACCATTTGGACAGCGACACAAATTGTTGCCAATACAGCGACCACCATTTTTACAGGGTATTACGCACTTGGCTATTGATTGAATTGGAGATATATTTTCATGCATATAGTCGAATTGAGTTGATGTTGTACTTACAGTATTCGCAGTGCAGGCCATAGTATCCCTTGGAGCATTGGCATTTATCCTTTTGTATGCATTTGCCGCCATTCAAGCACTTCTCCTTGCAAATACCTGGAATAAAATATTATTAATGCATCGTTTATGCTTGCAGGCTTCACAAAATGTATCGCAAGACGGGCATACAATTGATGCGTATGAGCATGGCGCCCACAAGGCGTGGCCAAGCGAACAGCACACAACAGAAGCAGACACCACCACCACCACCACCACCGCCATTGCGTCCGCGTGCCAGCGCCCTGACGGATGAGATAATACGTGTGGATCATGCTGGCGAACTGGGCGCCGATCGTATCTATGCTGGCCAAATGGCCATATTGGGCAACGGGCCCATGGGCAAGACCATTGAGCATATGTGGGAGCAGGAGAAAGACCATCGCAAACAGTTCGAGCAGTTGATACAGCAGCATCGTGTGCGTCCCACAATCATGGCTCCCATTTGGAATGTGGCGGCATTTGCGTTGGGCGCTGGCACTGCGCTGCTGGGCGAAAAGGCGGCCATGGCCTGCACTGTGGCCGTGGAAACGGTCATTGTGGAGCACTACAACGATCAACTGCGTCAAATCATGGAATCACCCAATCCGGATAAGGTAAGTGAAGCACGCCATAAATGCCGTTTAATATTTCATTTGGGATTTGTTTTCTTTGCTTAGGAGCTGCTTGCGACAATCACAAAGTTTCGTGACGAGGAACAGGAACATCACGATACGGGCATCGATTGTGGAGCCGAGCAGGCGCCCTTCTATAAGGCTATTACCGAGGTCATTAAATTTGGCTGCAAGACGGCCATAGCCATATCGAAGAAGATCTAAGCTCCGCTGAGATCGAGTTGTGCGCGTGTATGGGGTGTTTAGTTATAGAAGCTTAAGCATTAAAGATACGATTTATAAAAGTACTTACCGCCCTCGCACTGTGTACCCTGATAGCCCTCCGGACAGGTGCAAACCGATGGAGCTGTACAATTGCCGCCGTGCATGCACTGTGGAAAGCAGAAGGCTGTCTCGCAATATTGGCCCATGTAGCCGCCGTTGCACTTGCAGATGTGATGCTCGTTGCAATAGCCGTTCTTGCCACATTTCAGGCTGCATTCTGGATCAGAAACTTAAGTTGTTTTTAGTTTAGTTCAAATTGGTTTTCGGCTTGTCGCTTTCGGTTTTTGTTTGTGTTTGATAAGTGTGTACATAAGCATTGAATTTGAGCATTGCAATTAAGCTTGGCAACAGTTTTTGAAATGATGATCGATTGATATAAATGTGAATATACGAATGTGCACAGCGGACATGTAGAACAGGGAAGGAGTGTGTGTGTGAGAGAGAGCGAGAGAGTGCGTGTGTGAGAAAGAGGGAAAGAGCCAAGCGCTTGGTATTGGAGGTCCCACACACGCGGGAGAGAGGGAGGGGCGCAAAAGCAGGCATAAAATATAAAATATAGTAGAAGCTGTGCTCAGTAATTGTAGGCGTAAGCTTATGTGCGAAAGCAAATGAGTTTATGTACATCAATTCAGAAGGCATTAGCAATAGAGTGATAAAATGTGATTACAGTAGAAAACGCTTAAGACTTTAGCTAAGCAAATACATATACGAAGGTATATCTATACACATATATTCAATTCAATTTCAATACTAAATTGTTGTTAATAAACGATATTCGAAATGTTGTCAACTGATTTCTCAAGTTCTTAAGCGCTTTCTACAGTAGTTTGTAAAGTTGATATAAAGCATTAAATTGACTTTTCATATACACTACCTTGCAAAGTTGTTAGTGAAGTAGGGTTGGAAGCGTCTATATCATACACACCTCTATGTGCGCATTCCTTTTTAAAGTTAAGACGTATGGGTGTGCCCGATAGCGATGCATTCTTGCGAGTCTGTATCTTAAGGCCCACATTGAATGATGCCGTGCCCGAGCTGTTTCCGGTACAGGGCAGGAATATGCTAAAATCTAGCTTAGATAGATATCAAATGGGCCACATTGGTGCGCCAGCTGCCATAACTGATTGACTCTGATTGCACTTACTTTTCTGCTCCTGCGGTATGCGACCTCGTTTGCTGATCGACAGCGTTGGCGCCTTCAAGATGCTCGCGTCCATCGTTTGCAGACGATCGAAATCATAGAAGTACTTGCGTCTGCCCGATTTCCAAGTGAAGTTCACATAGTTCACCTCCGATGGTATCACCAGATAGCTGTAGACGGTCGTATCACGTATTTCGTTCATCACCCGGCCATTGTGTATAGCATAGAGGCGATCTGAGTAGCCCTGTGGAAAGTAGAAAGCTGCAAGGATTGCCAGTTGAGCGGTGCAACGGTTACGATTGTCAATCAATTCAAAGCTTAATCAGTTCGCGCTCTAACCAATAACCGGTAAGAATACGAACCGGTTTAAGTTATGTTGACGTTAGCTAACACTAAATGCTAGCTAATTGAACAGGCTCAAAGTACAAAGTGCACAGTGTCTGAGCTATGAACTTTCAGAACTAGTTAAGTTCATACCTGCACAATCTATCGAACCAACTCATGGAACCGAACTGTTTACAGTGTTGCACATTGATCGAACTCACCGCTTAACATCTTGAGCTGCTGTTCGTTGATCCACAGCGAGATGCCCTGCTCCTCCAAGCGATTGTGGCGATTGTGATTGCCTTGATGTTTCTTGCGCGGACCGCGTCGATGGCCGTGGCCAGTACCCATACTGATATCGCTGTCCGCTAAGTTATCAAAGCCATCTACATCTCCAGTACTGTGATTCTCCTCCGAGCTAGCTGAATCGCCTCGCCTATTGTTGTTGTTGTTGCGATTGTGATGCTGCCGACACTCCAGTTGGCCGATGCACAGCAATGTCTGCACAATTAGCACCAGATAGAAGCACTTGACAAACCAACTAAATCCCTGCTCTGGCATATTTCTAATAGCGCACCAAAGCGCGAAGGAAAAACAAACAAATTGAAAATATTAATAGAAGAATCGCTCGGCAATGCTGCTGCAGGCCATCCCGATGCAAATTCATTTCATTAGCATGCAATCAATGATATGTGATTATTTGCATTTCCATTCCCATTTGTTTACACTTCATTTAACCCCGCCCTCCATGCGCTCAAGTCCAGGCAATGAAGTGCAAATATTGTGTTAAGTATTGATCAAATAGTCGCGCTTTAAAACCTGATATCCATGAGTAAGTGTGTATGTGTGTGGGTGTGGGTGTGTGTGTGTGTGACTGACTGATATATCAATCAGTTTGATATATCTTCACATACATGACAGCTGCGTCTCATTGCAGTGCAATTCCAATTGGAACTGCAGCAAAATCCAATTAAATAATATATATATATATATATATATATATATATATATATATATATATATATATATATATATATATGCACTAGCTATAAAGCAGACTCTTTGTCTAAGCTCTCAGCATTTGGCTGCACTTATAGATATTTGCCTCTGATAACTGCTTTTACCGTTATGACAGTCGACGTTTCTTATAAGACACATTTCCTGTGGTAGATATTTATAGTGATAAGGTCTAGGCATAGCTCTCTTTAACTAAACAACATTTGTTTGCATATTTCTTAACAACTTCATGGAATATAGTATATTCTTAACTAGGTTTACCTATGATAATCTATTGAAAAGTTTGACTTCTTTACGATACTTCCTTACTGAAATTCTTTCCTTAGACCTTAGTCAGAAGCATTGTATGTTTGCACCTTTGTATGCAATATGTTAGCGAAGACTCTCAACATCGCCTTTAGCATAGCATTGCATACCCTGTCAATGCGCAAAAAAGGGGTATTAAACACAATGCAAACGCTCGAATGTTAATGACAACTGCAGCTGAGTCCAATGAGCTGCTGATACGAGCTACCCAGGGGCTGAGAGACTGAGAGTCAATGGGTTCCCGAGCCGAAGAGTCAAAGAATCGAAGACGCAGAGCAGGTACAAAGTTGTTAGCACTTGGCGTGCTGTGTGAAGAGCTGGTGCAGGGCCTAACGAGGGGCCGAGCCAAGGCGACAGACGACGCAGAAATTTAAGAAAAAAAATTAAGAGAAACAAAAAGAATATAAAATAAAAATGAAGACAGAGGCAGACAGAGAGTCGGATAGCCAGACGCAGAGCACTATAGATATATATATATGTATATATATACATATATATATATATATATATAAACATGTTAAGGTGTCTTAATAAGATCAAACATGGCGATTATGAGGAATTGCTTGAAGATAATGACATCTGCCTTTACCATAAACGTACATGGAATTGCCAATGCCTTGAGGTTATGCAGCTAGTGAAAGGACAATGCAATTAAAGCCAAGCTAAGAGCTCTCATCAATCAAGCAGTTGGCACAAAAAAAAACCTGATCAATTAAAATTGATTTCCTTTTTAGTGTATGCGAATTTGAGGTTAGATTTGGGTCGCAAAACGTTTTGCAACACTACAAAAAAAAATGCTCAATTTATGCTTCAATTGAAGTCGTCCGTCTGGCTGGACTTTGATCTTTTGACTGATTCAGTTAATTAGTTAAGAGTTCGTTTTGCACCAACGACTTTCCTGGGAATTCGTGGATGGATTTTGATTGCTTGTGGCGGAAGTGCTGCGATTCTTTATAAATTATACTAAATACAAATTGAAAGACGACGAAAAAATAAAAAATAAAAAACAGCTAGAAAAACCAAAAAAAGAAAGCAAGAAAAACAACGCAATACGCGAGGCTCGATTTAGTTATAAAAATAGCTGGCATCATTTGCTTAGACTTTTTTACTAGAATTCCATTTGTATAAACTTAATGTTCCAATGATAAGCGCTACACACATATGATGCGATTGCTGATTAGCTGCTGGGTACAAGTGCGCAAACATAAAACGTGACCCCACAGACCACAGACCCAAAGCATGGCCAAGTCACATGCCGACAATCAACAATTCTATTGTCGGTTAGCTCAGATAGAGTGTAAACAAATGTAAACAAATTGAAGATACTAACGAGATCGAATCTATATAGTTCAGCTTACTAGTCGCTCGAGCTATTTGCGACTTAAATTGCGCGACTCTTTCAAGTTCAAGTGTTGTGGCGCAGCCAACTTAATAAGCAGCTTAAGCTGCCAGTGTTGAAAAATGTCAAAACTTTAAGCTGAACTCTTGAAAGCTTGCTATGATAGCTGATACTTTAAAGATAATTTGCTTGATCTATTACTCTTGATAATTCTGTAACTTTTAAAATTCTTATAAATTTGCAGACTTTTATGGAACTTGGCCACAAAGTATGCCAGCTGAGAGCTTTCATTTAATCATTCATCTATGTATATAGACCTACGTTATGATATAGATAGATCTAATATAGTAAACTGAGCTGATATAGATGAGATATACCTAAGATCTGATATAAGTAGACCTGGTAGAGATAAATGTTATATTATTATTACCTGATTAAGATAGAGCTGATATATTTAGGTCTCATACATAAGAAGCTGATATACTTAAAATCATATATTGATAGATCTGATACAGATAAATGTTATATCTGATAATTATAGATGTACTCTGGATAGTTCTATTATAAATAAATTCGTTATATATAAATCTGATGTAGATAGAGCTGATATAGCTAGATCTGATATACGTAAGATCTGATATAGTTAGATATAATATGGGTAGACCTGATTTAGAAAGATCTCATGTTGATTAATCTGATATAGGTAAGCTTGATATTGATAGATCTGATATACTTAAGATCTGACATAGGTATGTATATATATATATATAATGCATTTCCAGATATCACCTTACCAGAAGCAAAATTGTGCAAGGCTTAAAGATAGTGAAAGATTCAATTGAACCAGTATTCAAATAATTGCTCCATGAACCGAACCCTGACATTTAATATGAAAATCATAACAGCATATCCCAAGACCTATGAATGCAAGCAAGCAGCTCGAGGAACACGCTCTGAACAAACTGATGATATGAAGACATAAATTTCGTCCAAATAAATGCCCATATATTTAGGTATACGCAGGGCCCGATCTATACATAATTGCTTTGACAGCGGAGACAACAGGGCACAGAAAAGGAGCGATTAACATTTTAGCGTGAAACCGAAGACAGCAGCAGCGGCTGCAGCAGCAGCAGCAGCAGCAGCAGCAGCAGCAACAATTTGTTTGCTCTTTACGATTATTGCCTTTCTCACACCTTATTACCAAGAAAATAAAGAAGCAGCAACACAGAGGCGACAATGAAATGTGAAAATAAAAAAAGTCAGTCAGTCAGTGAGAACAAGAAGCTGACTAGACTGAGGCTGAGAGACGGCGAGCCGGCGAGACTGGATGCCAAGACAAGTTCAGCCTGGGTTTTTGGGCCTGGTCAGCGGCAAACGGAAGAGCTGTGGAAATCGCACTCACACACAGGCCCGAGCACACACATACACACAAGTAAACACACACACTCTGATATATGTCTCTTTAGGAAAAAAAGGGCGACTAACCGGGCACTCGAACTCGAGCAGTTTGTTAAGAGGGGCACAAACAGAGGCGATCATAAACAATCTATACACAATATAAATGACAACAAAAACAAGAAATCAGAGACATACACACACACGCACACACCTGATGTGGAATAAGAAGCAGAAGAGCAGAAATTGTTGCCAAAAGGAGTCGACAGACGCTAACTGAATATGAAGCCAGCGAGAACAATGGCCAAAAGGCTGGGGCAGCTCGAGGCCAGGCGATGCGAGGCGAGGCTCAATTCTGTTGGCTACCGATTAAAACGCTGCTAACAACAACAACAACATGAGAGCAGCAGCAGCAGCAGCAGCAGCAGCAGAAGTGGCCAAGACTTGCAGTCGTGTTTGCTTAATGAAACACAGCAACACTTGAAGAAGAAGAGAAAAAACACCTTCAGCAAATACTCGCCAATAGGCAGCAAAACAGGCAACCGGACCGACAGTCCACAGACCGGCTATATACGACTATGCAATGCTCTGCTTACCTTAACTATTATATAGCAGTATAGTTGTATAACAGCGTAGTTGTATAACTGTGTAACAGTTTTGCAGTATAGCAGTGTAACAGTTTTGCAGTATAACAGTATAACAGTATACCAGCATAGCGGTTATATAAGTATAGTATAAGAAGTTTTATAATAGTATAGCTGTATAACAGTATAATAGGATGACTGTATATCAATATAACAGTATAATTCTATAAGATTATAACATTTAAGTAAGTTTGACAGTATAACAGTATATAATATAACAGTATAATAATATAACAGTATAACAGTATAGCAGTATAACAATATAACAGTAAACACAATGACTGTATGATAGTATAACAGTTTAAATTATATTAGAAGTATAACAATTCAACTCACTAGGAAAAGAAGCGAAGACTTAGCTCAAAGGAGTTGAAGTTCAGCTTCAAGTTCAAGTTCAGTGTTCAAATTATACGCCAAGGAAAGTCTAAGGCCTGGATCGCGAGTCTTAATCCGTTAAATAAATTGTTTTAATTTAAAGCTAACTTCAATTATACAATACAATTTGAGTGATCTTGGGCATGTGCCCAACTCTTGATCAGTGCCAAGAAGACAGAGGTTAACACACACACATACATACATATATATATATATACATATATACATATATACATATATATATATATATATATATATATATATATATATATATATATATATATATATATTTATATATACATATATACATACACGCAGCTAGCAACAGCAAAGACTGTCTTCAAGTGGACTCAAGTACCGCTGTCAACATCAACGTCAGCGTCGTCGTACGCGTCGACGTCGACGTCGGCATCGCTGACTGCGTCCAGTGCAGTGCGCGACGAGCCAAGCAGGCTGGCCAAAACAAAACGACAGACGCAGCGGGACGTGTTTGGCTGCTGAGGGTGCCGAGCAAGAGCGAGAACGGAATAGAGAGGGGGCGGGGGGCGTTGGGACACGTCGTTCCATCGGACAGACGTGCAGACGCGCAGCAACAGCAGAAGCTACTTCACAGAAACAGAACTCTGATTTCTGTTTTTGCGTTTGTGTGCAGCAAGTGTGCGTGCGTGTGTGTGTGTGTATGTGTATATATATATGTGTGTGTGCGGTATAGCATCTTGATCGAGGAGTTTTGCACACCAGTCGATTTGTTTGCTGTGCTTGCTGGCAGACAAGTGGCCCGGCCGGCCGGCTGACTGGTTGGCTGGTTGGCTTGTTGGCTCGTTGGCCTACCAACAAGCCAAGGTGTCAGCGCAGCCAGCAGCGGCACTGGTTGTTAGCCACTGAAGTGCTGCTTGATAGTGAGGTGGTCTGCGGGGCGGTGGCTCAATCAAGGGGTGTCTGTGTGGACAATGACTTTCACGCTTTTCAAGCGCGCCAAAACGCAAACACAGAGAGCAGAGCAAGTAAATGCATATAAATACATATACATGCATGCATATGTATGTATGTATGTATTTATGTATGTATGTTATGTATGCACAACAAGTACAGGCAACCAACTGGCGGCTATGATACACTGCATCCGGCTCTACACAAACCACAATTTAAGTCGAAGCGCGAAAATAAATTTTATATTTAAAATAAACTTTAAATAAATTATATATATATATATATAAGAGACGAATTTAATTTCCATGAATCACTAGTTGAAGCCTTTCTTTCAAACTTAACGTGTCAATTAATTTCGCACTAATTTCGCTCAGTGTATGGGCAGGTGCTTATGCTTTGAGGATCACTAAGTTCAAGCTCAGCTGATTATTGAAGCTGCGCTTCAAAGCTTCAATGCTCCTTCTCACTCACTCACACACACACACACGGACGGCAGCAGCAAGCGTTCAGGGTCACAAGCACAAACAACAACACGAAAAAGGGTTCGAATCGAGACATTACGTAATTTATTGACAATTCGCTTGTTAGCCGGCATCGATTTTGTCGCCAAGCTACATGCAACATGCAACATGCAGCAAGCGGCAAGCAACCTGCAACCTGCTACATGCCCATCAGCATAATCGTAAACATAAACATCATCATAAATGTTATCATTGCCGAGCGTTCGTTAAAGCCAATCAACTAAATTGAAGGCATATTAATTGAACGATCGTTAAGCAACGATTGAAATCAGATTCAGATTTAACCGTTGCAAGCGGCGGGCAACATCGGTGCTGCCAATTGTTTGTTGTTGAGCTGCTTCTTGTTGCCATTTTGGCGCTTTAAATTATTGCTTAAATTTCACACACTTTGCTCTTGTTTTTGACTTTATAATCATATTTTAAATCATTTTTTATTTAATTTAAAAAAAAATAAGTAAATCACACACACACGCGCATACAGTATTAGTTAGCATTTGATATTCATTTACATTGGCTTAATTCATTAAAATAACAGCAACAGGAACCAAAAAAAAAAAAAAACGTGAATATTCTTTCTTTTTTGCAAAATTCGTTAGCAGAGAGGACTACGCGAGTAGTACCGTTCGAAACCGTTGACGAGTATTAACTTTTTGTTGGTGTACTGCTGCCCAGTGTGGCCGATGTCCGCGAATGGATAAATACGACAAAATACTAAATGTAAGTGGTGCACCTGTTGAATACCAACTTTGCTGTTAATTAGCAGCGCATAATGAGTTCAACATCGAATTCAATTAACTTCCATGTTAAGCCAGACAACACAAAACTTTAAATTTTTGCGCTTATAGCTTAAAGAATATGCAAACAATTGCTTAAAGGAAAAATACATTTATTTTGTAGCTATTTCTTTTTTGTTTTTTTTTTTTTGCTTTTTTATGTTTTTTTCTTACAAATAAATGTATAACATTTAGTTACAAATACATTTACAATTAAGAATTGCTCTACTTTGGGGAAAAAAACGAAAGTACAAATACATGACAATATATATATGTATATATATAACTAATCAGTTAAGTTAAACATATATAAAAAAAATATTAAAACAATAAACAGAAAAAAAATTAGAGATTTAGTTTAACTTAGTTTTATGTAATTTTTTTGTTTAATATTTTTTACTTTTTACTTTGTTTAGTTTAGTTTAGTTAATTTAATTTGTAATATCTTTCAAGTTTTGTAGGCTTTCTTGCTTGTTGTTTTTAATAGATTACATTTACATTTACAATACATACAATAATAAAAAAAATGTCTGTGTGTGTGTGTATGTGTGTGTGAATTATTAAAAACTGCTAACTGATATTTTTATGGTTTTTTGTTTTTCTTTTTGAAATATACATCAAAAATGTTAATATAATAGGCACATACAAAGCAATGACTAAATCAGATTATATATATATATATATATATATATATATATATATATATGTATATATATATAAAGGTGTGTGTGTGTGTGTGTGTGTGTACATAGTTAGGTAGCTTTAAATTTTGATTTAGGTTTTTTTAGGTTCGCGTTTCAATTTCTTGTGTACATAGCTAAAGTATATAGCGTATATAGTATATGATATATATAGTATATAGTAATATATGTACGTACGTACGTACGCATGTGTGTGTGTGTGTGAGTGTGTGCATGCAACTTGGCTAAAAGTTTTCGTTTATAACAAATTTCTATAAGCATTACATACGAATATATTTATATATATATGAATATATATATATATGTAGCTTTTGTTTTAGATACATGAAATAGTACTACATATATACCTAAAGACAGTCTTGTTTCTATGTGCGTGAGTGTGTGTGTGTGTGTGTGAGTATATAACACAGATGGAATATACATAGAAGAATTCAAAATGAAATGAAGAAAAAAACTTGTATAATGTTAATGTGTATGCATGTTCCGTGTGTGTATATATATATGTATATACTACATAAATAAACATACATATATGTATATATATATATGTAAGTTATATAAAGTTTTTGTTTTTTTTTATAAAGTTTTCTCGCTTAGCTTAACTAATGTACACTTTGTATAGAGTTTTAAAGACTTCATTTTGTTTGTTTTTGATGCAACGGAATTTCTATATATATATATATAATATATGTGTATATATGTATATATAATTGCTGTATATATATAAATATTTAGTTGGCTATATGCATAAAAAGCAATTTGTATTTGTTGTAACTTTTCAAGTTGTTTCGTTTAATTGAGTGTGCGTGTGTTGTGTGTGTGTGTGTGTGTGTGTGTGTGTGAATGCCAAATGAATTTGTAGTTTGTAAATTTTAGTATTTTATTTTCAATTTTTTTGGTTGGCCTAAGCTGTGCAAACAGTTGAAGTCTGGACTCGCGAAAGTCCCTTAAAGTCGTCTAAAGGTGGAAATTGGTGGAGTTGGAGCTGGAGGTAAATTAGCGGTTAGTTGACAATTCTCAAGGATTTCGTACACTGTCCAACACGACAGCCGCATGCACAACACTCTCCCATGGCCATTTGTGTGAATTATGAATTTGTTTTTAGCTTTGTCACTGTTCGATTTGGTGTCTCTAGGCGATTGTTGACGTTGGGTTTGGTTGTTTGTTCTTTCTTTGTTAATAAATATATTGTAAAAAAAAGCACATAAAACTCGTAAAATTCTTGTAGTTCTTTAGCTTTGGCTCTACATACACGTCTATAAATTGATGTTAACATAGTTTTCCTTGAAAGCATAAGTAACAAACGAGCGCGAGCACGTTTTAAAAAATTCGTTGTTAATACAGTTTTTCTCTATAGAATATGTTGAAGAAACGAACAGGGTTTTTATTGCTGTCAGATATCGTAACGGTAACTTAGTTAATCGTTTAGCTAGTTGTTAAAGCATACACACACACACGTATATGTACGTGTATGCTGCACACAATATCCATGCATGTATATATATTTATATATATATATATATATATATATATATATATATATATATATATATATATATATATATATATATATATATATATGTATATGTATATATATATGTTATTTTCTTTTTCTTTTTTCTTTTTCTACACACATATCGTATTTCAACGCTATATATATATATATATAGATATAAATATATATAGTTTGTTTTAAGGTACATTTTATGTGCAACTGCATCTATAGCTATATATATACATATATGTTTATATATGTGTAGCTTCTATATATATATATATATATAGACAGAGTAGCGAACAATATAGTACTCAGACCCCAGTTAGATAAGTTGATGGTGTATGTGTGTGTGTGTGTGTTTGTGTATATAAACATTGCACTATAAATGTAGTTGGTGTTGTTTTGCGTTTGTTAAACTTTTACTGCTGCTGCTGCATATGCATTCGCATATTTTGCTTTTATAGACTAATAGTTGACTTGGCGTCGACCGCGCGGCTTAATGCGCTCCGATATCTGCCACATCTCCTCCTCGCCCATAAAATCTTTAAAGTTATCAAAGAAGCGAATGATGCGATCATTGCGTCGGAACGGATATGTGCTAGAATGAATGCATATATAAATGTTTGTAATTTGATCATTTTTCTATATATTTACCATTTCTTGAAACGCTTCATATTCACAATGATATTGTATTGCTGCCAGCGTTTGGAAAAGTTAATCACGCCCTTGGACACATAGTCCTGGTTGCCCACATGCACAAAGGTCAGATCCTGCAGAACCAGACCGCTGCAGTCACATAGAAATAGAGTTAAAATAGAGTTTAGATACATCGATGCATTTCTATGTAGTTGGGCCAGCTTACATATAGGGTATACAGGGTGGATTGGTTTCGGCCAGCGCTTGACGATACGCACGAAAACTGGAACTCGAATCGATGAGCGCACAGAAGCAGCGCACCTCCTCCGCAATGCCCTTTTGCCACTCCAATCTGTATTAAATAGAAATGTAAACATTAATTAGTACACAATTCATTGGGTTCCAGTTGTCAGTTGACAGTTGTTCGTTCACCTGCGTATGGGGCCCGAATCGAGCGCCGATAGCAGCGCCAGATACGAGTTGTAATTATTCATTTTACGCAAGTGTTTCATGATTTTAATAAACTTATTCACATGCTTCTCACGCTCTTTGGCGTCCTGCAGGCGCAAAATTTTGGAACGTGCCCAGTAGGACATTTTGTTAAAGTGCTCGGTGAACTTATTGAGATTAGGTGATTTCTCCTCGCACTGATCTTTGGCAAATAATAATACTTCGGGTATTTCGATTTTCTGAAAGAGCTCCGCATCCAGCAGCGTCATCTGTTCGGCTATCTCCAATGACTTCAAGTCGAGCAGACTGGGCTGACTGTTTGTGTTGCTGCCGCTGCCCACATGATCGTGTATATAGGAATAGCTCCGCTGATCCTTATAGAGCGTCACCTTCTCCACGAATTTGTTACGCAGCAGCTTGGCCAAATACAACTGGCCGGAGCAGACCAGCTGATAGACAAACTCCACCAGCAAGCTGAGCAGCTGGCTGGTCAGATCCGTTGACCTGTGATAAACCACCATTTAAATTTGATTTTCTGCAAATCCAATCGAATTGAAGAGCATTACTTACGTCAGATCGTTGACGACGCGCACCAGGAGCGAGAAGGTCTCCTTGGCGGCCTTCTGCTTCTGATCGTGCACCTGGCAGAAGAAGTATGTGTATCGATGGGTCAGCTTCTCGATCACATCGATCGGCTGAATGAAGGTGCGAAAGGTGGTAATGAAGGCCTCGCTGAATGCTGCATGAACGAAATGGACAACAAATGGACTTTGATTAGGTTGATGACGTTTACGAAATTTAGGTACGGTGTTCGACTTATGCGGCGTATTAGTTATAGTGCTATCATTATAATTGTTATCATTATGATTGGTCGAGCGATGGCGTCGATGATGATGCCTACCATTATCGGCGACCTTCTGGACGCGACTGGCGTGCACGATCAGTGCATCAATGTAGCCGCCCTTCACTTCGGGCCCATCCTCCTCCTTCTTTTTGAGTATTAGGTATGGCGTTATGTCGATCTCCTCGAGCATATTTGGCAATTGATTATCGACCTCTCCCTCTTCCTCCTCCTCCTCCTCCTCTTCCATCTCATCGGCATCCTCCTCGTCCAGCTCTTCAAGCTCGTGCTCTCTAGCCAATGGATCTGGCACCACCACTTCGTTCGTATCCAACAATTTGGGCGTACTAATGGGCGTGGCTAGTTGCTCAGCTACCGCAGCCAACGTTTCGCTGGGCAACTGATGCGAGTGACAATAGAAGGTAGAACCACCCACATTCTCGTTGCTATCTACCACAGCCGTTGCTATCGCTGTGGCTGTGGCGCTGCCTGTTGGCTCCTCCCTCGAATTGGACGCATCGTGTAGCTCCTCGCAGACGGTGGTCATGCGGCTGTTCCGCAGCGCCGTATCACCCACCATTGGCTTTGGACTGGCTGGAGGTGTTGTTATAATCGCTGGTGGCGTCGCTCCTGATAACGTCGTCATCGTCGTTGAGGATTTGCGCTGTTTGTAGTTCTTGGGAGGCAGCGCTGGCGGCGTCTCCAGCTCCGACGACAGATCCTTGCTCACCGACATTATGCTAAGCCAGGCGAAAACAAAGGAGTTGTTATACAAAATGGTTTAGCTGATATACAATGTGACTGCACTTACTTCATGGTCTGACTATGCGAGATGTTGCGGCTGGTGTTGTACGCGTGCACTGTGTGCCGATTCTGCACCACAGACTGCGAATTCGCCGAGCAGATCTCCATGTAAGCCAAAACTGTGTGCGTGTGTGTGTGTTTCAGGTGTGTTTCAGTGGGTGGGGCGCAAGAGAATAGAAAAAAATAAAACAAACAATTTTAATGCACCTGTCACAACAATTGGAGCAACATGAAAAGAAAAGAAAAAACGAAAACAAGCGCAACGAACGAAGCGATCAAGCTGACAACAGTTCCAATCAATGACTGTGGGGGATCTGCGCTCCACTTGGCGCCATGTGCCAAAACGCAGCTACAGATGGAACACAAACGCGTTAAGCTACATGAGTTTATATAGATAGATATACATATGTATAAAAATACATATAAATATATATATATATATATATATATATATATATATACGTAGATCAGCTAGGAAGCGCCAAGCAAGACTGCAAAATTTCAGTGGAGCTCTGTTTGGAATAATTCAAATAATATTTCAATACATATTAAAGAGTTAGAGATGTATATATATACACATATGTATATATATACTAGTATATATATACCGTTAGGAGACTCGTCTTTGTAACTCCTTTTCTAGGGAGCTTTGAGCCAAGGTCACTTTCAGTTTTGCAGCCTTGCTCAACTCTGGCAGCTGCAACAACTTCACGCACAGCAGGATTTGCCTGTACAGTAATCTTTCGCTGAAACAGCTAAGCGCTGAACAACAAACAACATAAACAATAACACAACTGAAAGAAACTCTGTACAAACGAGGGGGGGGGCAGCTCATTTTTAACGTAAGCAAACAAAAAAGAAAACGCAGCTCAAAGAACGCGAACCCAATCGGAACTAGTTCCGTTGCAACAGCAAAGAGCGTTAGAGCGCGAAAGGCTGCAATGCGAAGATCATGCTCTATATCCTTCCACAGTTAAAAGAAACGTTTGGAAGTGAAACATTTAAACCATGTTCCAAATGATGTCTAAATATTTCTCAAGAATGGAGTTAACGCTGCTATTAGAATGAAAAGTTTGGGAATGAAACACTTTAAAAATATTAAAGCTTGCCTACTTGCCCAATTCCTAAATATCCTCAGCCGCGTTTCATTACCATTTAACATTTCGCAGATTTTTTTGTTTCAAGTGTTTCCAAAACGTTTCTATAGTCACCTCATTTTACATAAGCTCAATTCCAAAATATCCTTATATTCGTCTCAGAAACTAATGGAATTTCTTTTATTTGTCTGCATATTTTTTTGTTTCAAACGTTTCCAAAACGTTTCTGTGGTCATTCTCGATATTTGCTTAAGATATTTATGAATTTTTGTATATCAATCTTAAATCTTAAGTTTTTTTTGTAGAGCTTCTTTATCTTTAGCCGAAGGAGGTGCAATTAAGGCAAAATTTGGACTTTAAAACAAGAACGATAAAAACAGAAACGAAGTAAAACGATAACGTGGCGAGCAGAGCAGCTGGACTTACCCGAGAAGGCGACACTCTGAAACACTAGATGTTGATTGGAACGATAATTTAGATGGGTTAGAGTTTTGCGTACAACAATTTGACAAGGTTTTTTTTTGTATTGCTCATTGGCGATATTGTTACGAGTGCTATAAATAAAAGTGTTGCTACAAATTCTTAACTGTCCACTACAAAAACATAAATATATATTTCAATAAAATGTTATATATATAGATGAATTTGTTTTGCTGATTGTTGTTCTTGTTGTTGACTGATTGTGGTTGTTGTTGTAGTTGGCTGATTGTTGTTGTTGCTGATGCTGCTTGTTGCTTATTGTTGTTGCTGTTGTTGTTGTTGTTTTGTTGTTGATGCTGTCTTCATCTGGGATATGGGACGCAGTTAGGGGGTGTGGGGCGGGACGTGTTTGCAAGTTTTTGTTTTCTCAATTAATATTTCGTTTGTTCTTGCTGTGGCATTTGATTTTAAGAGCCAAACATATGTTTGTTTTGTGTATTCATGTTCTTGTTATTGTTGTTGTTTTTGTTGTAAATGCGATGCGAACGCAACAAAACAAAGCAAAATCCAAACAAAATTTCAAAAAGAAAGTCATCAAAGATGGCTGAAGAAATTTGATATGTGTGTGTGTGTGTGTTGTCGTTAATAGGCTTTACAAATATAACACACACACACACGCACAACTTAATCATAAGCTAACGGAAAACAAAAAGTTTCAAAAACTCACCGCTGGGTATGGCTTGTGGCGACACCTAGCGTTCAAGTTCGGCAAACATAATATTTAAACATGCAAATTGTCACACACATACATAGATATATATGCATATGTACATGTATACACCAATGCAGTTTACACAAATGAGACAAAAAAAGTTGAGAGAAAAATACAAAAAAAAGAAGACAAACAGAAAATGTAAATATGTGTGCGCATTTGGCAATTGCACTTACTGTGCTTCTTTTTCCTTGGCAATGGCGGCGGCTTCTCCAATTGGCGATCAAAGGCGCTGCTGTAGCTAGTGGGCAACTGGGCGCTGCGTGGCGGCGGCTCCATCAGGCTGTGATGCTTGGAATGCCATTGCAGCTGCTGCGAGGATGCATGATGATGCGGCGACAATTGACGCAGCTCCGCCATTTCGCTGCAAAAAGAAAAAAAAACCAAATATAAAATAAGTGAAAATGACAAATTTCCGTTACACTTAGAGCCTTTAGTGCAGGCATTGTTATGCTGGCAACATAACAGTCGTTCAGTCAAGCAAAAACTCAACGAAATATTGTCTAGGCGATGCCAGATGCAAAAACAACACAAATTACTTACAAATTGCAATCGTCCAGCACATCCATGGCCGCATCGAGCAATGTCATGGCAGCACGTGACTGCATTTTGGGTGGCAACGCCGGCGCCAAATCCGGTGATGAGCAATTGCTGCCCAGCGCCTGCAATTGCTCGGTGCTAATTGTTGTTGCAGTTGCATTGCTGCTAGTGATGTGACGTTGCGATGTTTGCGTTTGGCTTAGCTGATGGAAATCGTTATTGCTGCTATTGCTGCGACTCGTCGTCGATGCCGATGTTGATGTCGTCGTTGTTGTTGTTGTGTTCGACGACGACGACGAGGCAGAGGTCATCTCGCTAATGCCAAAAACAATCTCCGAATTGCTACTCGATGATTTTGTCGATGATTGCACACTGTGCTCCGAAGAACGTTTCGAAACGCTCTGCGTTGAAGTACGAAATGACATCATCGACACAAAGCCTAGTTTAGAAAACAAAATCAAAATATAAAAGCATGAAAAAGTTTGGCAATTGCAAATTGTCTGGTACTTTAACAACAATAACAAATTGGCAAATATTTAAAGCTAAATATAAGTAAAATAAAAGGCTGAAAAGCGAACCAAAAAAGTCAGTGCGGTTCAGTTAACGGGTTTCGTTCAGTTGAATCAGTTTGTTCTTTCCGTTCAGTTTGTTATTTTCAAATTTATAGCTTTAGAACTAGTGTTATTTGCACTGTAACAAGTGTTTCTTTAAAAATGTGGTTCGGTTCCGTACTGTAAAACGGTTCGGGTTGCAGCCTTGCATACAATACACAAATGAACTTTACGACAACAATGAAGGACAATAGACAATTAGGCTAACGAAAAAAACAATATATAAATATAAATAAAGAACCAAGCGAGAAAAAATACAACTTCTAAATATAGCAAAAGATATTGAGAAAGAGAAAGATATATATATACATTGAACTGGTTCACATTTGGCTATTAAATGTTTGTTTAAAAAACTTTCCGAAAAATGAATACCTTAAGGAAAAGTTTTTTAAGACAGCGAATTTGGTCAAACTCTTAAAGCTTATAGCCAAATATGAGCAGTTCGGAAAATCAGAGAGGCGAGAAGTAGCTAAAACAGTAGAAGTATAGAAGAAATACCCGATTCATTTGAATGGCTGTTGCTGGTTAGCTCAGCTGCGGCTTTACGCAGTTCCGTATTGACTTCAATTGCGCCGGAACCGGAGCCGTAGCCTGAACTAGAGCCCGGACCCGAGTCAGTGCTGACAGCCGGCAAGAGTGGCGTCAACTGGGCGCTACTCATGCCCGCCTCCTGGGATAAGGCGTTAGCAATACCAGCAGCAGCAGCGGCCGGATTCTCTGCGAATCGCATTGGGGAAGTTGAGTTGTTCATTGAGATGCTGCTGCTGTTAGTAGTTGTTGCTAGCGGATACTCACTGTAGCTAATAAGCTTGTCGACATCGTCGTCCAGCTGCTGATGCTGCTGATGCTGCTGATGGTGCAACGTTCGCGATGGCGGCTTCTGCAATTGATCCTCCTCCTCGCGCGAATGATTCAGCGCCGAGTCGAACGAGCATTGGCTGTTCTCATCTGGTGAACGAGAGCGCACCGAAAGGCTGCAAATGAACGAACAAGTGAGTATATTTCAATGTGAGTCAGTGGTTTAAAAAGCGAACTAATAAGTGAGTAAAGTGATTGCCAAAAAGAACCAGAATGTAATTTTAACCAGCAAAGAGATAAGAGTTATCAGAGAGTCAGTTAATGAACCAGTTACAGGAAATTATAATGAACTAGTAAGTGATTAAGGACTAGAACTAACCGATCTACGCCATAGTTAAGCAGCGAGAAGTTCGAACTGCAATCCAGATCAGAATTAAGGCTGATGTTGTGCGACTGCGCATAGGGCAATGGGCTATTTGCCTGCGACGAGTTGCAGGTGGTGTTCGCATTGGTATTGCTATTGCTATTGGTATTGATGTTGGTATTGGTATTGGTATTGGTATTGTTATTGGTATTGGTATTGGTATTGGTATTGGTATTGTTATTGGTATTCGTATTGCTATTGGACGCATTGATATTCGCCAGCTGCGATTGCGGCTGACTGCGACGCTTTGGTGGTAACGGCGGCGGATTGCTCGCCCGATTGGGCAGCGGCGGCTTTGGCGGCGGGCTGGTGTCGCGCAGTATGCTCTCCGTGCTGTGAGAGCCGCGCATCGGATTCACATTGCTCTGCTCCAGTATGTCACGCTCTTTGGGCGTCAGCGCAATATCCGGCAGCGACGTACGCTGTGCCACCGCAGCCGCTGCGGCGACATCGGCCGGCGTGCGCAGTCCTGGCACGCTGCCGCCCACCGTACTGGCCGCGGTCACTGCGCCCATTATATCGGCGGCGGCGCCGATGCCGCCCAAGCCACTGCCGCCCAAGCCGCTGCCGCTGTACCGAAACGTGCACTGATCCTGCTCCTTGAGTTTGCTCTGCGCCAGTGTGACCAGATTCTGTAAGCGAAAAATATCGTTTTTAGTATTTTTATTTTGGAACTAAATTGAAGTTAAGTTTACAAGTCGGTTTACAGGTTTATCCGCAAGCTAAACTGCATTTTTTTGTAACAATTTTATTTTTATGCTTGACAGCTGGAAATAACATTTTTTTATATATTAATCCTCAGGATAAACTGCAGCTCAGCTATTTTGGTTGTTTGCCCCGACGACCTAAACTAAAACTGGCAAGGCGCAGTTAAATATATCTGAACTAGGAAATAAGCCTAACAAGTTCTTCAATTTGAGTTTCAATCACAAGATTATAATAACGGCTAGCTAAATCATAAGGCATTCAGAGTGGCTTCCTCGGAAAGGGAAGCTATCTCATGCGCAAGCGTTAACAATTCTTTTTATAGCAACGCATGCAGTGTGTGGGTTAACGTGTGCATTGTAACTGCCAGTTAATTAAGGGCACACTAACAAGCACTTAGCTGGCCTTTGGGTAGGCAGATAAATGACTCAGATTGAATTAAAAGCCAACTTAAGCGGACAATGCGACAACGAGAAATAATGGCTTAATTGTTTTACACACTATACAGTGTTGATTAACGTGTTGCTTACTTAACTGCCAGTTAGTCAATAGACAGTTTGCAATACAAAAGACGAGGACGAAGGACGAAGGAGCAAGAGTCCGCAAAGCGAAGCCTTCGAGCAGCTGACAGTGTTGTTTAACTAGCAGTTAACTTTAACAGACAGTCATATATGTTGTCAAGGGTAGACTTAACACTTACGCGCACTGCATCCTCGAGCAGATCGATGACCTCACGCACATTCTCATTGCTAAGGGAGGCACATTCGCCGCTCTTTTCGCTCAGCATAACCTCGTCGCAGAGCTTGATGAGCTTGCCAAGCGATTGATAGACCTGTTGGGTGGCCGAGCTCATGATGGCACTGTTCTCGTTCAGTGTGTACGACTGAATGACTGCAATGGAGAGCGCATGTTAGTCACAGATCGATGATCGATGTTCTTTCATCGGATGTCGCTCACTTACCGGAATACATGCTGGCAATGGTCTCCAGTATGACGGTGCCATTGCCCGGTAGTACTTCCAGCTTCTTTCTGAGTATGACATCCCGAAAATGTTTGAGCGCATTCGATATGTCCTTGACGTGCGTCTCCAGCGTCTGTGTGGATCGCTGCACCTCCTCGGTGGTGGGCGGCGGCTTGGTGGCATGCTTGTTGCGCGGACTGTGCGGCGAATGCGACCGGCCGAGTGTATTGTTGGTGGTGCGCATCAGTGAGATCTTCTCAATTAGATCGTCCTTGAAGGAACGTGCTCGTCGCGCCAATTTCGTACCCTTCAAACTGTTTTTATGGCCGGACGATCCACCACCACCGCCCGAAGACGATGATGACGATGCGCTGCTCGGTGGTGCAGGTGGCACGCCGCCGGCTCGTCCGCTCTGCAACGGTGTTGTCGGTGGCTGTGGCTGCAACGGCGGCGGCGTTGATGATGCGCTGGATGAGTGAGCCGCGTAGATGCTGCCACTGTTGATGCTGTTGTTGCTGCTGCTGTTGCAACCCCCGCCGCCGCCAACACCACCGCCACCGCCCGACCCCGAGCAGTTACTGGGCGTGGATGGAGAACTGATGCTGCCGTCTATGGATATATAAAACATTATATTCAATTAGCTACGTTCGATCTATATATATATAATTGCAATTGTAATCAAGAGCTGCATGATCTGTATTTGACTGTTGGATTTTTCAACTGGATATTCATTTCATTCTCTGAACAATAATAGGCGACCCAAACAAACACACACACACACACACACACAGAAAGGCCTATCACGCATTCATGATTCATTGTATTCAGGCATGATTCAGTGGAATTATGCACCGCCTATTAAGCACTTATCGAATTGCAAGAATACGGTTCACGTACAACCATATTACAGCACGTTCTCTACGCGTATACCCTGTAATCAGCATGGAATATCTTTGATACAACTGCGAAGTTTATAGTCTCAAGCTTAATCTAGACTTTTAAAGAATTCTGGCTCACAGGCCATCACTTCTGTTGATCAGTTATACTAAGGTAAATGCTCATAAGAGCAGATAGTAGGTAGATAGTAGATAGATAGAACATGAGTTATACTTCAATAGATCTTGCTGCAGAGTATCTGCAAGTCGAAGACTGTCTACAAATATTTATGTTTACATTTATTCATATATGGATCATAATCGAAAATAATATGCACATAATAAATATAAATATAATTACTATTTAAATGTTAAACCACATTAAGTATTAAAAACAAATATATTTTCTTTTATATTTTTTATATTTGCATAAATCTTTATATAACTAAAGATATAATCATAATTATGATATGATTTTAGTTGTTTGTTTCTAAGAGCATAAGATCATTATATATATATCTATATATACATATATATATATATATATATACATGGACACATATATATTTGGATTCGAATATTTTTTTCTACTTTTGGTTTTGTTTTTGACTTTCCCTGTGACTGATAATGTATTATATATGCATATATACATGGATCTATATATACATTCTTATATAATACCTATAGATTTTGTATATATATGAACTTGTCATATCTGTATATATTTATATAACATATATACATAGTCATGAACTCCGTGTTTTTCAGAGACCTTCACGTGTCGCTTTTTAACATATTCAGCGAACATTTCAGACATATATATAAATGTATATATCTGCTTATATATATTCACATTCACTATCCGTTCGCATCGTAGGAGATTTGTTGTTTTGTTTATTCGATGCTTCTTTTAAATCGCCGATGGAAATCAAATGATAAATGTAGAAAGAAATAGAAAGAGACTAATTGAAAGAGCGCGACAAGCACCGGCGATAGACCGATTTTGCGATACTCTTGGAACTGTTGTTGATGTTTTATAGGAATCGATAAATATCGATTAACTTAGTTGTTTCCATTTTAAAAAGAGTTTGGAGTACAAAGTATCTTTCGATAACTTAAATAAAGTTACCTTTCCTGTAATATCAATAGCTTTCGATAAAACTATCGATAAATCGCAGATTGAATTAATAAAAGAAAACGAGTGACTTAACAAACTGAAGTTAGCAGGTGAAATTTCAAATAGTTTTGATAGTTGCAAATGAACAGCTATCGATACAAGTGACTAATCGATAGATACTATGTAACAAATCGATAGGTAACATTGATGCAAAGTTAATTATATCTATTAGCATTACATATAAATACATTGTCGATCAAAATTAGTAAATCGATACCAGTTAGTAACCGATAGACTTAATCGATAACTCATTCGTTATCGATAACTCATTTTATACAAAAAAAACTAAGTGCAGTGAGTAGAACGAGCAGACACTAATCGATAAACACTTTGATTTTAACACATTGATCGATATTTAATTATCGATATTAACAAAATGAAATAGAAGCAATCTGAGCGCAAGGAGAACGAGTGGCTATAAAAACATTAATCGATATTTAGCTAACGATAACCGTTTTTCAAAACGACAGGTTAAGCACTTTGCTAATATGCCCCATTCGGTATAGGGTATGCAACATGTGCCGCTGTTATTTGATTTGCATGATGAACGACGGCAACCACACGGCAAACGAGCCAAAATGCCAAACGGTAAACGAACCACGGCCGCCCACCCAGACCCAAAAACAAATAATAGAAAACCCGCACATATGTAGAGTTGTGTGTGTGTGTATGTGTGTGTGTGTACATATGCATACATGTTGTAGCTTTCACTTACAGAGCAACACATTCTTGACCAGCAAATACGATGGTGTCAATGGTGTGCACAGAGGTGTTGCTGCTGGTGTGGTTAGTGTTGCTGGTGTTTCTGTTGTTGATAAAGCCAAACGTGGCAATTTTTTATATTCGCGCCTCCTGTGGAATTTGATGTCATGCAGCGTAGATTTGTTGTTGTTGTTGCAGCTGCCGCTGCTACTGCTGCCATTGCTATTGTTGTTGTTGTTATCGCGCTTTGACCAGCGCGCGCGCTGACTTTGTTGTTGTTGCTGCTGATCATGCTGATCATGTTGATCATCTTGCAACGGTTGCTTCACCGTATACGAATAGAAACGCCAGCGTTCAGCCAGCGCGCAGTCGCTCAAAAAAGTTTCATCAAATTGCGGCATTTTACAATTGCATAACAACAACAACAACAACAGCAACAGCAGCAACCAGCACACATAACAGGTGTTTAATCATATATATATATATATATATAAAGATATATGTGTATGTGTGTGTGTATTATGTTGTTAAGCGTTACATTCACAGCACTTTATGAGCTACAAAACTTTTTTTTTTTATCTTTTCTTTTCCTCCTTTTTTTTGGCACTTTTCAAGAGCAATTGTCGCCGCTTTTGCTCGTTGTTGTTTGCCAATTAAATAAATCAGAGAATTTATATATATATATACGCTTATATATATTTATATATTTAGCGAGCCGCGCGGCAGCTGCTGTCGTCAGCGTTGTCGTCTGGAAAGCGCACTGAACTATGAAAATCCGCAAAACGGCAATCGCCAGCAGCAGCACCAGCAGCAGCCCGAGCCAACCAAGCAGCCAGTCGCCAGGTCCGCTAACCAGCCATTAAGCAGCACCAGCCGCAGCAGCAGCAGCAACAGCAACAACAACACATGGCAGCGCATCAAATGGCACTCGCTCCCAACAAAACTTGACTAGAGAAGACGTAGACGTGAAGACTTGCTCGCGCAACAACAACAACAACAACAATGGCAAACATTGTCCGGCAACAACAACATCATCAGCAACATTTACACTCACTTAACATTCACTGATAGACAACAAAGCAACAACAACAACAGCAACAGTTTTTTTTTACTCTCGCATCAGTTGCTCTTGGCTCTCTGTTATCATTCAATTGTCAACTCTCTCCATACACTCGCTCGCTCTCCCTCTCCCTCTCTCTCTCTTTCTTTATTTGCAATTGGCAAACATAGCAACCATTGTATACCCTATAAGCAAATAGCTTAACAAGTATTTAGCACACTTCACAGAGAGAAACTTTACATATATAGAAACTTTATATATATTCCTAATTTCCGTCAGATTATGCATAACATCATAAAACCAAAATCTCTGTTCGTGAACTCAATTTCTCTATACACTTTACGAGTGTTTTAAAATGTGCTCATAAAATATTTAATGCCTAGTAGAAAATGCTAAAATGTTGACCCAGAAACAATCGATTAACACATATTATTGTGCTGTGAAGTTCTTGTCTATTTCCTGTAACAAATTAGAACATGTTTTCATATAACAAATCAAAGTTCAAAACTCAAATAAAAAAAAACACAAATTTATTATTGATTTTTATCGATTTTATGAAAAAACGTTATCAATGATTTGATAAATGTTGCTATAAGAAGGGACTATGTTTTTCAAAGTCACGCCTCCCGTTTGCTGCTGCATATAGGGTATTAGTTAGTCGCACACACCTCCCGTTTGCTGCTGCATATAGGGTATTAGCTAGTCGCACACACCTAGCCCTGGCATTAGCCTTCCTACACTTGGCATCCATATTATAGATTATTATTTTTGTTTTCTGTTTTTCTTTTTCTGTTCGCTGGCCCTGGGGCCCGGCTTGGAGTTTTTCTTCAATTTGCAATCGTGACTCGCCTTGAAATCATTTTATTGAAGCTGAGCACAAACATAATAACAAAAGGGAAAGATGCCGAGAGCCCATATAGCCGACATATACTACCCACTACATAAAACCCACAGACAAAAATAAGAAAAAAACCTCAATTGAAATTGAAGAAAAGTGAAAATAAAGCTGCGTAACTGCTTGAAGCTCGAGTTTAGCCGAGTTTTTTTTTTTCAGCAATTCAATCAAAATAAATAATAAAGAAAAATATGTAAATATGATCGAACCAAATATATACCCTAGGAATCCATAAATTGGGCATAGTTCATCGGGTTATAAATATAATTTAATATATAATATATATAGAGACCAGTTTTATATGTATTTAAATTTATAATTCATTCCACATTTACGTAGTATCTATTAGCTGTGCACACAGTTTACTTGATTCCCATATAGTAAACAATGATCATCATAAACAATGATTACTTTCTACTTCCAAGAAAAATCATTTTCTTTATTATGCAGATGGGAAACACATATTCTATTTATAGACCTCTTTCTATTCTATTAATAAATCTCTCGTATCAACTTATTGATCGTAATAAACTTATATATATATAATATAATTTTTGGTCGAGCTGTTTAGTTCCCGGTCTAAAACTCTGCAAGATACAGTATCACCCGATTGGATACGAAGTATAATTTCTGCCATATCACATATAGTATTTGACGATTTGCCACGCCCATAGTGGGAGGTATTCCGAATTTCATGTCTCAAATTTGAGGGACAGACTTTGCCCAAAGCCAATATACTCTTTTTCGCTTCGTGAACGAGCATAAGAATCAGACATGAAACGCTTTAAGTAGACAATTATACAACAACTTAGACTTAGATGAAGTATCTTAGAATTTGGCTTGAAAGCTTTAAGCTTTATACACGTATATATATTCTTGATTAGCATTAACATTTATCTAAGTCAATTTTAAACATAGTTATTTAATATTTACCATTTTCCTAGGAATATACTAAACAAACTTTAAGACTTAACATGCTATCAGTAGATGCTCGAATTCGGATCACTATCGTAAGAGGATCGATCTTCAATGAATAAAGTATATATATGAAAAAGAAGCGTGTAGAAGAGTATATATATAAATACGAACCAATAAACCTCAATAGAGCATTAGAGTATTTCAGCAACTACAACTGCCTAAAATTCAATTTGTGACGATCATTAATCACAAAATCGAGTTTCAAACAACATATATATATGTATATATATTTATATATTATGCACACACATATATATATTTCCATATAAAAATATATATTTATTCGTAACCAGAACCGTTTTGGCATCAATTTGAGACATTGGAAATTGGATCAGCAACGGGTTCAACCAGTTGGGTGGCATTAAACAGGTGAGAGATTATGGATTCTTGTTTCGGCATAATTTGGCACACATCCAATGATCATAATCAAGTTGGCCGATTATCGTCTTCTGTTTGTTTTTGTTAGTGTCGCTATGCAAAATAGTTGACCAATATTTGCAAGTGGCCTGCAGCTAAAGTGGACAACAGCTAAGTCGACCGACTGACCGATCGATCGATCGAACTGTTCAGCTGTAACCAGTTTGGGTGACAGCGGGAGAGCGAGAGAGAGCGAGGGAGAGACAGAGGGAAAGCCTTCTAAATGAAAACAAAACAGTGATTGCCATCTCTCAGAGAGATAGACAGAGCGAACTAAAAAGTCCAGCGGACAGCTGTGGAATTTGCGGAATGTGCGCTGTGTGTGTGTGTGTGTGTGCATGAGTGTTATGTGTTATGCTTTCTAACTGCCAGCAACGCGATTCACGATCAACAAATAGCCATAATCAACACTATTCCTAACAATGCGCAAAGCAGTTAAAAAATAATATTAAAAACAAGTGTTCGAGTGTGCTCGACTAAGCGATACTCCTTAGTGCATGGCAAAGTTGGATCTAGGTAAAATATGGGCTTGTATAAGTCTATATGGTATACTCAAATGTTTATATGATTAAGAGCAGCCTTAAAGTATACTATGAAATGGCTTTATCGCCACGTTTTCTCTTTGAAGAGTTTTCGAAAATATGAAAATGCCCAAAAATCCGTGCAAACGGATTATCTTTGTCTAACTGTAGCGTATACGCCCCATTGCACGCTATTTTTACGTGGCATAAAACGCAACTACATCAACTACATCAAATATGACATAATCTCTGTTGTTGACGCCAAAAACAAAACAAAAGAAAAGACAAAGCAACAGCAGAAGAAGAAGAAGCAGCAGCAGCGACAACAAAACAGCACGACAAACAAATCGTTAAAAGAAAAAGAAATAAGCGAAGAGGGAGGGAAAAAAACTGACACAACTTTTGACTTGGGTCGTAACAGTTCATTGATCATGACACGTTCTCATGCTGCACACACACGCGCGCGCTCACACACATACGCACACACACACACGTGGCTTTGGCATGCTGTTTTAGGGTTTAATTTGACCCTGTGCCATACAAACATACATTCAGCATGACGTCATCGCAGGTGCGGTCATCATGCAGGCATTCAATTCACTCAATTGCCAAACACCCTCGCCCTCGCCCTCGCCTTCACCCTCTCTCTCACTCTCTGTCTATCACTCTTACACACATTCTAAAGTCATGCATACTGCATGCATTTAAAATAAATAAATATTGTTCATTTAACGCGTGTGTATCACACACACACACACACACAGTTATTCATACTTTGCAATTTTTGTTTGTCAGCACTTCTTCTTCCTCGTCTTACACTGGTCAAAGCGCTACGTCACGGCTCGAATTATTTGTATATTGGCAACTAACAGTAAAAACAAGTTCAATTCTAATAATTCTTCCTTTTCACTTTTTCGCTTTTTGGGAAATTTTTTGGGATTTTTTTTTGGTATATTTTCGAGCACTATTTTGAGGCTGGCGCTTCTGTCGCTACGTTTGCCGGGCAACGGTTAGATAACTTTTGAGCAATGGCGCGCCTCATAATTAATAATGCGCTATATATGAGCAGCGAAATAACAACAACAACAGTGGCAACGAGAAAATGTGTGGAAGAAGAAGAAGCAGTAGAAAAGAACTCGGAACGCAAACGAAAACGAAACTACAAATTCAGAGCCTAGGCCAGAGAGCCTATATGGGAGATATAAAACAAAAAAAAAAAAAGAATGAAAAACAAAACGAAGCTAGCAGCGAGCTGAACTGTGTGGGCATGTCCAGCAGATACCCTGTAAACGGCTGGCACATACACAGAGCATATCAAATGTGAATCGGGCCTTGCTGCTCAAACGAATAAAAATTAAACTTTATCGACTGTTATCGTTCGCCCAAGCAACTATTTCGATCATTTTATATAGATTTTTTTTTCAATTTTTTCTGCCTGGCCAGCAAACAAACGCTTATACCCTATGCAAACATTTCGCTTATGAACTGGCTATAAAGAGAGGCCTACAGAGAATTTAATGACTGGCACAGCAAGTGTGAGAGTAAGTAAGTGTGCTTGTGTCTGTCTGTGTGCTTGT